AAGACGAAAATTTGTAGATTTTCATTACGACTTAACCACGTACGAAGAATAATTTAAGCTTCCGCAGAACTTTTACAATCTGTATAGCTATACTTCCCTACATTATTAACCTGTTTTAAAATACATTTCATTTCAAGTTACTATAAAACATCCATTTGAAAACATTCGACGTGGACACTCAGACTATAAAGAGACATTTTTCTGTAACCCCGTAGCGCTTGCAGTGAATTTAAATGACAGTTTATGGAAAATTGAAGTGTTTCGTGGTCACTTTTATTTACATATCCGTGAATACGAATTCATTTTTATTTTAGTTAATCAAATACATAATCTAAACGGAAAGATTTTATATATTTAAAACTAAAGTCACCCTAGATTAGTTCAATTGATAGTGATAAGTACAGTCTTGCTAAAGAGAAAATAGCTTTTAGGTCTGGCATAAACTTCAAGCTTCAAGAAACACTCTAAGGAATGAACGATTAAAGCTTGAGATTAGTCGCACAGATAAAAACGACCGGTTCTTGTTTGTTGACTGTTTGTCACTGTTGATGGAATTACATCAAACTATTTATAGTTAAATCTACATGTGGATACTATCTAACTGTTCTATGTATGTGAACACTATCCTTAGAACAAATGTTTTAGGAATTTTATCGGTAAAAAACATTTTTAATGAAGAAAATTGTCAGGTTCTATAATGGTAGTCAGGGCTGGAATTTTTATTTTACTTAAATTAGAAAATAGCCGAAATAGTCGAAAATAAATCTCTTAAAGATAAGCCGCGTTCTTAGAATACTATCATCAACGCGGAATATCTTCACGAGTCGGACACAAATCTCTCTCGAGCGAACGATTTTACGTCCAATACCCCGTTTCTATTTAATTATTTATGTATGATAATGACATAAAATAAACTTCAGTTGATCCGAAAGACAAAGTACAGAAAAACGTGCGCCAAAAAAGACATGAAACATTTTTTTTTCTAAGTTTTTATACAAATATGTTTTATTTTCAGCTTCAAACACATATTTTAATGACGAAAAAATATATCTATAAGTTACTGTAAAAGCCCGAATATTGGTAAATCTAAAAGGTTTTACCAGTAAATCTTAGGGTATACCAACACGAGTTGGTAAATGTAAGAATATGTAAAAAATAAATGATTTTATCGGGCTTTTACCATTAGAATGTACATGCTAGGTTTTACCAGTGACGGTTGGTAAATGTTGGTTTTGGAAATAAAACAATGCATACTTCTTAATCATTTATTTCAAATCCTTACATACCTATGAGTAATTATTAATCATTTATTTATTTATTTATTTTATTAGGCTCACAATACACATCACAAGCTAAAGATACATAAAAAACACAAGTAAAAAGAAACAAAATCTGGCTTGCAACATAAGTTATGTGCGCACGACAAAACAAGACATATAGTGCTGAATTTGTATAACAATGTTCCTTACAATTATGACAAAACAACATAATAACAAAACTAATCTAACGAATAATGTAAGGAAAAAAAAATTATTCACAATATAATACATTAAACAATTACATTAACCTACCTATTAATAAAGTGGAGGATGCCCTTGAACATTTTTCTAAACGTAACCAACCTACAAGTAAAAATATCTAACTCAGGTGACGACCTTGCCAGTTCGTTATAGGTACGACACATTCGGGTAATGGGATTATAGTAAGATATATTGTTTTTGTAAATTAGCAATGCAAACAAATTGTTTTGGTTGACCCTCCGAGCACTAAATTTAATGTTTAGTGAAATCTGAGATAACAGTTCAGGCGAATCCAACAGAGAGTGAATTATCTTAACTTCTATCTTATATAAGTATATCAGATGCATGTACGTCGATCTTCTAGTGACTGCATGTTATAGTTTAATAGTCTGTGCTCGTATTTACTAATTAATTAAGTTAAATCGTTGCCTATATCTTTTGGTATTTTTATTGATTGAGTTTTAATAACTAGTAATAATAATTTTTTAAACACTTGTAGAATAAAAAAAACAACACAAATAAAATTATCTTGACAAAGTACATAATGCTTACTATTATGACTAATCTAACTGAATCATTACTTTTTTTAATATTTTAGATTTATAAACAAGTTGAAGATAAGCGAAACGACAATTTATTATAATTAATCATTACATTTTCGACAAGCATTTTTTAAGGCAGTTTAAGGCAGTTTAAGCAAGACATTTCTTGCAACCTTGTCCTCCAGTCAATGACAATTTTCCGACAACTCGAAGACTTCTTTATCGAGATCTTTAACAACTTCATTTATCTTAACAAACTCTTCAGAGCATAACGTAAATTGATTCTTTGTGTAAAACTGCTTTAGTACTCCAATTTTGTTACCCACCCAGTTGGTAAAACTCATTGTCCATTACATCTAACACACTGCAATAATGCTTTTTGGGCCAGTTTTAGTTCTGTCAATGTCAGGTACTTTCAGTGTAAAATTTTGGCCAACTTTCACATTTGGATATTTATCAGACGATATGGTTTTCATTTTTTCAGCTTGGTTTTCCAAATTGACTTTTGGTTTTTTTCTTATTGTCTGGACTGATTCTATCCTTTTCGATATTGGGTCTTCTTGAGCTTGAGTTGAGTTTTCTGTCTCTGAATCGGTTCCATGGTTATTAGCTTCTCCATAATAATTTCAGTTACATCTTCTTGTGTTTAATTCCTCAAATTAATACTGTTTCTGTCCTCTTCTGACTCATTTTCAACAACATTTTCTTCCTTCAAGGCCAAACGCCGAACACGTACGTGTTGTATGTTGTTGTATGAACACGTATATTTATCTCAATATTTACCGTGTATTTACCAAGGGAATGGTGGTAAAAGTCCGAAATAAACGATGATCATAGAGCGTTTTGGACTTTTACCATTAAGAGTTGGTAAATCTTAAGATTTCCTGGAAAATGTTAGGATTTACCGTAGTTCGGGCTTTTACAGTAACATATATATATATATTACATGCACATTATTTTAATACAGTGATTTAGAAATTATTGTGTAATTTCATCCACAACAAAGAGAGCTAAAAAGGTTAAAATAGTGGGCGAAACGACACTTTCACTTTTCTGGAATATTTGCCTAAAGCTATATCCCAATTTCGGAATATGATATCGCCCTAAATCAGCCTTTAATAACTTTTCTACGTTCTTTATCTTATATTATATTTATAAGTAACCTTAAGATACACAGTAGACTGGTTTTATAGATAAACAACGTAAAACATTAATCATCACTTAAACTACACGTTTATCGTCGACAGTAATAAAATATATTAGTGGTAGGGCATCTTATGAGCCCGTACGGGTAGGTACCACCACCCTGCCAATTTCTGCCGTGAAGCAATGATGCTTTTCGGTTCGAAGGGTTGAGTAGCCGTTGTACCGTTCTACTCTCAGAGTGGGTAACGCCATTTACGTTGATGATGTCTATGGGCTTCAGTGACTACTTATCATCAGATGCACCGCGAGCATCGTCTGTCTATCTAAGAAAAAAAAAACCCTCTGAAAAGACACAATAATCACGGAACGGAAACTCCAAAGCTCTTCGACGAAGTACAAACTAGATTATCAGATCCGTACAAACTTGGGAGTTTCAATCGAAATCAATTTGGGCACTGCACGAAGTTTTTTACGACTTGATTTTTATCGACAAATCGAAATCAACTTATCCTAAGATAATTTTACAGCTAATAAAAAAATTATATAGCTTAGTCATAGAGCAATTAATTTTTATATAATTGCATGTTTTATTTTGAAAGCTACCTAATTACGAATTCCGATTCCGTATTTACGAATAGATCTAAATCGCCGAATAAGGAATGTTATACTCGTAGATATACGGGTGCTAGAGTATTTTATGGGCATGCACAGATAGGTAACATCAACCTGCCTATTTGTACCAGGAAATAGTCACGTGTTTTGGTTTGAAAGATCTTACAGCCACTAAACGACACAACGAGATTTTTTTCCCTATCTATTCGCTAGCAGCCTAAGGGATGAGCTGACGGGTTCTACCTGACAGAATTTGCTATCACTAGCCCTAGCAGGAGCAGTGCTCTGCTAAATCTACTACCGGATCGGAATCGCGACCCGCCGAGAAGATCCGACTAGAAACTCAATGGTCTGTTTCTATGGGCTTGTTAGCTCGTCGAATAACGACGGTGACTAGTGCTTGAAGAGCCTAAAAGCACTAAGAGATCCGGCGGATCCGACAAGAAATGATCCGGGCGAAAGCGTCTTTGCGTTACCCCGTCGTCTGGGTCGGATATATGTATAATTAGCGGCGGCCACAGTAAGAGCGTTATCTTGTTACACCGCTTCGTCGAAGTAGCATTCTGACGCTACGTTAAGATACTTACATATTGGTTCTAAATTTAGATCATCGTTAAGGTTGAAATTCTTCACATACCACGGTGCTCCGACGACTATCCCGCAAAAAGGCTATTGGATGACCTGGAGAATACAATTAAGACTTCGATCTGATATTATGTCTATAGGCTACGCTGCCAATAATAGCCATACAAAACAAACGTTAATCATATACATATATGCAAATAAAATTTTAAATTATTTAGAACGAGGATAATTGTATTTATTAAATATGTTTGTATTTGCCGATACTAATTGATGTCAAGGTCATTATCAACTGTCGTCATTGTTTTCTTTAAATTATTCTGATGTAAGCTGTGAAGTTACATTGATCTCAAAACATCAAACTAGAACTGCAAAACTACTTTACCTATTATTATAAAATCTAACTATGTCATAGATAGATACTAAATAATACTTGATCAATAATTTCCTCTTTTATACTCGGAATATTGTTTTGTGCGATAATTTCTGACCTATAAATACATACAGTATCATTTTACAACGAACCGTATTATGTCAGTATTTTTCTCTGATAAACAAACGTTACCGATCTCCTATTCAGTGTCCATTTTCAAACGGCAGTCAAAGGACGTACGCGCACTTTATGGATAGAGAGAATTGAAATAATAAGCGCGAAATAATAGTGACGGCTCGTTGCAAATAACACGTTAATCGAGAGCGGTGCATCCTGCATTTTCAATAAAGTGGACACGCACAAAGCACGCACAATGCTAGTGAAAATAGTGATCGTGTTTTTTATTACGAAATTCGCACGCGGACAAGTTAACGGAGAATTCTGGTGGATGAACGATAAAATCGCTAAATATCACAATACGTTGATACCGCCGCCCGTATACGAGGATCTACCAGAATACGAAACAGACGAAAGTGTAAAGATTGTATTCAGGGATAGCGAATTCGAAAAACACAATAGCATATTTCATGGAAGACACGGACATACAAAATTAAAAAATCACAACTTACCCAAACGCGATTATATTCAATACCCCAATGCGAATAATGCTCATACAAAACACGAACATTCGGAAAACGCAAACAATTTAATGATGGCTAGTGAATCCGGTAAACTTAATAAGAAACTTATTGCTGATAAACAAGCAACTGTATTCAAGCCTGATAATAGTATTGTGTTTGAGCTACCAAAAAAGACGAAAGACGTATTAAAAAACTATGCTGACGTAGAATTAAAAACGACAGAGCAAGCGATGCCGTTAACCAGGAGTACATTTGAAACACATCCTCCATTCGCATCCTTCAACGACTATATGAATTTTGTAAATGTCGATCAAAAGCCAGAAACTACACCCTCAGATATTTGCACATACATTAGACGAATGGAATGTCAAGGACGAATGGGCTTAGTTTATAATTTAGAAGTGGGCAGGTGAGTTTCATGAAACGCCCGACTATCATGAATGACTTTAAATCTGAATTCATTAAAAATATAAAAGTCTAACGGGAAATCCAAAAATACTTCAAAAATATTAATACTTAATTAAAACACTTGTTTTCAGAGATCCAAAGAAAATCCCAAATGATCCGCAACTAATTTGTTGTATTTTATTTCCAAAGACTGACAGGGTTCAAAGTACTAGTGAAACTATTGCATTGGCCCAAGAACACAACACCAACCCACCAAAGACTTCAACCAAAACTCCAAATGAATTGAATAAAGTAGTATTAAATTTAACAAACATTGATGACTACATTTCAAAGTATGCAGTCGTGAAGAATAATAGTTCTGGGGTACAAGGCACAAATATTGAGAAAAATATAATTACACCCACTAAACAGACATTAAATTTGAACAAACCGTCACAAAGTATGTGTACATACATCACTAAACAACAATGTCTTATGAATCAAGGATTTGTTTACAATTTTTCACCAAAAGGGTAAGGAAATCTCTCAATAAACGTTTTTCTTTTCTTTCTTTTACATATTTACATAAAAAAACTATAATGGTTCTCGTCAAACGAAACATAAAAAACAGTTCAGATATCAAGTCGTTATTAATTAATGTACTGTACAGAGTATGTAAGTAATCAGAAAATATAGCATCCAATGTCTCAGTTCATGAAACGAATGAAGAAATGGGATTTATATGTATTTACATATTTAAGCATATATATGGTATATTGTAACCATTCCCAAAAACAAAGATTGGTAATACATCTGGGGATACAGTGTTTTTACTTCGCACGCAATGATTACGGTCTTGGGAATACACTATCTTTAGGGTAGCTTTTTATTCTCATTTTTATTCCGGTACCATTTAACTAACACCCTTTATATTATCAGCACTTCTACATTCTTCATAGTATTTCATTTATTTCAATAGCATTTTGTATTTCTATATAATTACGAAACATCTGAGAAAAGTACTATTGTAAATATAATAACTTTTTTTATATTAAATAATTTATTTCTCAGATATCCTACAACAGTTCCGAGTAATCCGCATTTAATTTGTTGTATTCTACTAAGAATGACGGACACGGCTCAAACTACTGCTACTGTGCTCGCACAAGAAAGCATTACTGTTCCACCAAAACCTTCAACTGAAACTACAAATGTATTGAGGAAGCCTGTACCTAATTTATCAAATGTTGATAACTATATTTCAAAGTACGGTGTTACAAAAAACTCTAACATTTCCGATTTACAACTAAATAATGGCAATACACAAAATGAAATAGTTTCCGACATTAAAGTAACCAAAAATAAAAGTGCAGACATTAAATGTACCTATACAACCGAAAGGGACTGTCTTATTAATAATGGAATTATTTACAAAGAAACGCCAAAGAGGTAAGATTCTAATGAACACTGAAATATTTTTAAAGAAAGCCGGAAAAACCCGATTGTATGCGGTAGAAATAATTAGTGTGCTAGTTACGTAGCTTTTCAATTAAGGAACCCACTAAACGACTCCACTATACTCTTCACTCTCAGTGGGTCGCGTTTCCAATCCGTTGGTAGATTGTGCGAAGCATTGCTCTAGCTAGGGCTAGTGTTAACAGTCACCAGGTTTAGAGCCCCGTGAGCTCACCTACTCGCCCGATGAATCTAGTATGACAGCTCGAGGTCAATAGAAAAGGTAGAAAAAAAAAGAAAAAAGAACTGCACTCTTCGTCCGAACGTCCTTGGTCCTTTCGGAACAGAACTTGTAGAATTTGTAGCAAGGGTGGTCTCGGTAAGTGCTGTAATCAGACACTTGATCGGTCAAGTCGGCATCGGTGCCGTCATCGACAAAAAAACGATTTAACGCTGGCCACCTACTACAGCAAACCACTTCGACGGTTCCTAGATTCACAGTAAGATGCCCCAGACGGCGATAATAAATGCCCAGCGCAGCACAGCCCTAGTCTGAAGCTTCCGCGCTCCGATCTTCCTCACGCTTCCAAGAGTCAGTGTAATAATAAACTTTGGCTAGAACTAGGAAAATATTTACATGGAAAAATAAGATTGTCACTATTAAAAAAATATGAAGATGAAGCATTTCGTATTCTACATACTCGTATCTGTAATTAGCCAAGAAGATTTGCTTACTGCCCTAGGGGAAGACGTTTTTGTTAGTTTTTGTGATAGTTACTTGGTTTTTAAAACCAATAAATATTTAAAATTGATGATGTAACAAAGTTACTTTTTATAAAATAAATATCAGTTGATATTGTCTGGTTTGGTAATATTTATTGAAATTTAGATTATTGTAAGTCATATTAAGACAGGATCGTAATTTTTTTTTTCAGAAGCCAAGAAAACTCTCGTTCAGTATGTTGCATTTTACCATTGGAGAAGTCGTTACAAATCGCGATAAAAACGCCATCACTAGAAGAAAAGTATGTTAGTCAAACCATACAGCCATCTCTTAATTCAAAAAATAAATTCCAATACATTGAAGATTTTATTGCTAAATTTGGCGTTAATACCAATGATTCTAAAACACAACATGAAAATAAGCAACACCAACCTAATACTCAGACTGAAAGTAGTACGAGTATTAGCACGACGATCTCGTATATTGACATTTTCCAAACAAAAAAAACCATCAACGAAGAATCACATTTTAACTCCAAACCAAATTTCGTTGACAAAATAGATCCAAACAAATCAGTTCATGCAAGCAACACGAAAACAGTTGAAACAAATAATTATACAGAATCAGTTAACCGAATTGTTGGAACAAATAATATTTATAACGAAGAAAAACAGGAATCTACAGGTATTTGCAAATACATCATGAAGCAAGAGTGTATGAATCGCAAAGGATTTATTTACAGCACTGACTTTGGAAAGTAAGTTTAGAAACTTTAACAATAATATTAAACTCCTCCAAAACATATATGAAGAATCTAAATAGAAACATTTACTCTGTAAAACAGACAATTTTTCATAATCTCCTCACAGATGATACAGTTTTAATAAACACCATTATAATACTCCTAACGTGAATCTAACGCGGACCTGTGTGACCTTTACTAATATGGCACAAATAGTAATTTCTATTATTACACATTAGACGTTCGCGAGATGAATTTGACAATCGCTTGCTAGGTATTTGCTAAAGTGATCTCAAATAACTGAGCCCCTTTAATTTTAACTAAAACTCATTAACAAGAATATCAAAAGCTATGAATGGTATAATTTTTAAAGTTTTATTTTTTCAGTCTAACATTACAATTTAACACTGAAAGCAACATATCTTGTTAATAAAATCAAATGTCTAATACTAAAACCGTCAACAGGACTTGAGTTTTTCGAATAATAAGCATTCCCTAATTGTTTTTAATATCGTAAATGGGCAAATGAAGTCACGTCCCGCCTAGTGTTTACCGGAATTCATAGACAGCACAAGATCGTCGAGGTCTCAATTAAAGTGTGTAACGGCTGCCTACAGCACTATAGTAGAATTATTTTGCCCGTGCAGTTTGGCTCATAAAACATAGCCCGGCTAGGGCGGTGAGCATGTTGTGCGGGCGCAATGCCTTTATCGATAAAAACAAATGTGTCATCCAAGGCAGGTACACAGCGGCGGGGTGAGACATTGTTATGTTATAAGTCATTTGTACTTACCTGCAAATTATAGTACATTATGTCGAAGAGAAATGTGTTTTTATGCATTCGTTCTCTGAATTTCTTTAGTGGCACAATGGCTACTTCTTTGTTTTGTACCAAAACGGCAGAATTTATTCAAAATAATATTTGCACGTGTTGTTATCAAAAATATCTCTGAAATGAAAATAGATCCCGAAAAGTTACAAAGTGTTAATTTCTGCCGTTCTCGTTAACTTGTTGCGGCGATATATGGTGTAAGTGTTCGATTAGTGATTTTTTCTTTCATTTTTATCACTAACCCACAAAATGACAAAACTAAATACACTATCGATAACGCTTATCGACAACAATAATGCGCATCACTGTGCCCGTCCGTAAGGCTCGTGAGTGGAAGTGAGAGCGAAATACTTGCTTCGCCGCTCCGATTTTTTATGATCCAAACTGCACGAACAAAATAATTCTACTAAGAGTACAACCGAGATTATAATATGACTTCCAAAATATCACCGCGAACCCCAATAGGTCGTCGGTCCATCGCGTAGGGGCACATTTTTATTTTATCTTTTATTATTTTCTGAAAATGTATTTCAAATTCTTAATTGTAAAACATCAACTCGGATCCTGACTTTTTATTAACCTGTTAGTTAAATAATGTAATATAATAATATGCATAATGTAATTTTATGTAAGTAAATATTGAATTTTATGTTTATACCTTTAATTGGCATGCATATCCGAATAGTATTATAATTTGAGTGGATTTCTATAACTGAATACATACTCTATCTTTTGGTGCAAAATAAATATATATAATAAATGGGGCTCGGTCGCTCTTATAGGAAACACTACCAACAGTGAATAAGTCCTATCACTGAAGGTAGCTAAAGCATTGTTACGGTATTTAATTAGATAAAATTAATTTACAGAAGCATTAAAAGAGGTCCCAATGATCCGCAATTAGTATGTTGTATTCTGGATGATAATTTAGCAAACAGTCATGACACTGGAGATGAAATCCCGTCCTACTCAAGCACAAGGACATATAATTCTCAAGAAACAACTACAAGTTCGACATCGCCTACAATAAATAAAAATGGAATACAAGAAGTACGGACAACTGCAATCCCATTCATATTTCCAGACAAAAAAAACTACATATTTAGTTACAATAATCAGCTCAATATCAATAAGCCACCAGTCAAAAACGAAAATTATACTTTGAATGATAACAAAAACACACAAACCGGCTCACTCTTAAAACCTAACATAGATGACCTTATCTCAAAGTATGGCGTGAATGAAAGTAAATCTGAAAACATAGCAATGAATAAAGTAAACGAAAATAAAAATGAAAACAATGCAATTGTCGAAAAGAATATTAGCAGCGCAATTTTATACAAAAAAATTAAGAATTGTACATTCATAAATAAATATAAATGTTTAAACGTTAATGGAACAGTATCTAATTTACCCAGTGAAATGTAAGTGTGTATATGTGTTTATATTTACTATCCGGAGTTTAAAATATTTCTTGTCATTCGTGACTTTAATATTTTTTTTCTTTCAGAATTAATAAAATAGCCAATAATCAAAATTTAGTTTGTTGCATAATGCCATCAAATACAAAGCATAGCACTGAGAAAAGCATAGAAATAAAAAACAACTTCTCTAAAGAAACTGAAACTAACGCGAATTTAGTTTTCTTTCCTAAAAATAATCTGCTTAAAAAGCCAACAGAAAAAACTTTGCTTTTCTTCGACAAAGTCAATGAAAAGACAAATAAAAATGAAGGTGACAAGTCTTTAAATATTTGTACATATATCAAGGAATTCGAATGTAAACAACGATATGGCTTCGTTTATGGAATCGAATTCGGCAAGTAAGTAGTTATGATCCTTACGTTTAGTTATGATACCACACGTAAATTTAAAATAATTTAATAATTCGATTTCAGGAGTACCAAAAAAGGTCCTAGCGATCCAGAGTTGGTTTGCTGTATATTGCCTGAAAGCAACAAAAATGATTATCAAGTTAATGTAGTGGCTCACACAAACATTGGAGTATTTAATGAACAAACTGAGAACTTACAAACAACTAATTCGAACAATATTAGTCCCCAGATAGACCCAACGAGAAATGTATTTATATATAAACCAAAAGAAGCCTCGTCATTCGTCTTTCCTACTGAAAAATATGGTACCTAATGTTTGAATTAATAAAAAATGCTAATTACTAATTGCTAAAATATTTAATATATACATACATATATTAATGGTCTAATTATAATAAAATATAATTTAAACATTATATCATTATTTATAATCATCTTTTTTTCTTTATTGCCCTTGTAGGCAGACGAGCATACGGTCCACCTGATGGTGAGTGGTTACCATCCCCATGGACTTCAGCAATGCCAGGGGCAGAGCCAAGCCACTGCCTACCGATTAATACTCTCCACAAGCCTCTTTCAAAGAAGGACATGTCATAGCGCTTGCGAAACACCCTGGAGGAGCGCTCATTCCATAGCCGGATGGTACGTGGCAAAAAAGACCTCTGGAAACGCACTGTCGATGAACGCAGCGGTTCCAGATAATATGGATGAACTCGCTCCGATGGCGGGAGGTGCGATGATAAAAAGGAGATGAGGGGATCATCTCAAACAATTCCTCAGAGCACTCCCCATGGAACATACGGTACAAAATACACAGGGAACCGAAGTCCCTCCGCAGACTCAGAGGTTCCAAACGATATAATTTAGTAACATAAGAAATATACTGGTGGTGGCGTCTTGTGAACTTGTAAGGTTACGTACACCATCCTGCCTATTTCTGCCACGAAGCATTCATACGTTCCGCTTTGAGGTGTGGGACAGCTGTTGTGCTGTAAAACTGAAACTTATAGCTCATGGTTCAAGATGGCTCCGGTAACCACTTAACATCAGGTGGGCAATGAGCAAAAAAAGATATGATCCTAAAACACCTAATTTATAGAATACAAAAATAACAAACTGAGTAACGTTGAGCACAACATGGAGTATACAAACAAAATCGAAGATCACCCTTTGAAAAACACTGCAACTTCAAAACATGACAAGAATGATAAGGAAACAGAAAAACTTGTTATGACGTCGAATATAAATCCATTTAATAACAGATACAAGCGATCCACTGATGAAAACGGTAACACAGCATTAAACCAAAGAATGGTGTTACTACAAAGAAGATTCACGACCCAGCCACCGAAACCAAGTAAGGAAATCACGCGGGTTAAAATAGTAGCTTCAGATTATGATGAAGATCCTTACTGGAATGTCAAAAATCCAAAATTTCATAGCCCAAAGGCAACCAATAAAAAGGAATGCGACTACCAAGCGTGTGATTACTATATCGATGAACTCCCTAAACCTGGTTTAAGTGGCTTATACTCTGATCATGGACAGAAACCATCTTACTACGTAGACTATACTGACGACGATATCATATCATCGGATAGTGATTATGAAGATATTGGTGCCTCTTTTGGATACTCGACTGTCGATCCTAGAGGTGAGGTTTGGTTAACGCAAAACCAATTTTAATTAAACTATTTTAGAAACTATACCTTAATCTAGTGTTGTTATTTTATTTGTTTAACTTATTATTTAAGAAAATAATTATCAAATTAACCAAATAAAACGCTATAATTTTAGGTACAACCAAAAGTAAAACTTATCTATCAGTTGGGCCATCAAGGCGCAGCACAATTGCACCGGAAACATACGACCCGGTAAAGCTAACAGTTAATTTTCAGTCAAATCCAGATTTCCATGTTTTTGAAAATTTCAAATTGTTAAACATAGCAAACGGTAAATCCAAATTTTCATTGAAGATAAATGAACAGAAAAATACTGATGATAGCAAAAGCGAAGATTCGTCAGACACGGAACCTGTAATAAATTCAGACTCTACTGAAGACGCTGTTGACGATCAATTATTTGAAGACTGTGGAAGAACAATAGTTAGAACAAACTTCGATGGTAATTTTAATCTATACTAATATTATAAAACTGAAGAGTTTGTTAGTTTGTTTGAACCCGCTAATCTCAGGAAGTACTACTGGTCCGATTTGAAAAATTCTTCCAGTATAGTACATTTATTGAGGAAGGCTATAGGGTATATAACATCACGCTAAGACCAATACAAACGGAGCACCAATAAGAATGTTTCAAAATCGGGTTTATTTTTCCTTTTTGAGAGCTTCCGCTGCGTGCGCTGCGGAAACGGTTAAAGTTTCGCTAAAATAACAGAATAATAGAATTGTTCCCCTTTGAAAGATCAAAAAAAGTCGGCGACAGCATATGTCTATATGTTAAGGCTGGCTCACTATAACGTTTTTTATGCTAACCAAATTTGTTCTAAAATAAAGCATTATTTGTGAAGGTGTTTTTATGAAGATAATATTAATCCCTATCCAAATAAATACGTTGAGCCCATGAGACTCACCTACCAGTCCGTAAGTAGCTGGAATAGCCCCTTAGGCTACCAGCGATACTCTACCTAGGGCTCAGACCCAGGCGGAGATCGGACGTCGCGTAAGAGAGTGCGAAGGAAGTCATATGGTGGGATGGGCACTAAAACGTCTTTACCCCGCAGTCTGCTCCCAATATCTGCAAGCCTTCAAGTCCCACATACACGGCGCACTCCCCCGGGGCGGACACCTCGTTTAAGATTCGACGCCTTGTCCGAAAAAAGGCTACCAGCGATTAGGTAGTCAAAAACTGATTACTTTAAAATTAATCATAACTTTTCAGCTACAAAGCATAGTGGTGACGCTAAATATGGGTCACATCCGTGGCTTGCTCTGGTAGTGCCTACCAAACAACAACAGAAAATACTATGCTATGCCACACTCATTCATCCCAAGGCTGCAATAACAACCGCAGACTGTGTTTATGAGTATGTATAATTTATGACGTATTTATACGATCATGATTTTTATATTTACTGATGATGGCAGTTTTTTTGTGAGGCGACGTTGTTAGGTACCACTACCGCAAAGCATGAATCCTTATTCGATGTAATTAAAATTAAGACAGATCTGATGTCTCAAAGTGGTCGGCGGTATAGACGTTGTCATCTCTATGCGCTCCTATGAGCACTTTATATATGCAATGAAAAAAAAATTAGAAAATTCAAACAGATATTATTTCAGTGTGTAAATTATTCTTGTGTAAGGAAACCACCAGGTGGAGTAACGCTTATCGCAGGCGTATGGGATCTGAACCAGAGGTCACGCCCTAAAACTCGTGTACCTGCTATACATATTCACAAAGAATACACGAATGAGCATTTGGACCATGATCTTGCTATTCTTGTAAGTATTAATTTTACCTTAAAAACCGAAAACTGTTTCAAACTACCTTTAATGAAGATCAATTCAACACGAAACGAAATTCCAAATACGAATTCTCAGACTTAAACAATGAATTAACTACTATATATATTTATTTATTTTTGAGTACGGGAGTCAGATGTATGGCAATAAAACTTTATAATAATATCATAAAATAAGACTCATTTCAAATAGATACAAAAAACACTTTTCAAGCTCAGTATTTGCGCTTTGAGATCGTAAATTTTACCCACCTACGGCAACCAAACAAAATCATGTTTCCTTAAATCATATTAATTTAATATCGAAATATACATTTTTTTTACTAACGTTATGGATATAATCAATAATTTATACTAATGGTCGCCGACTAATGCTTCAAGATTTAAATCCATTTTATGTGTAAGATAGTATTTTTACATCGTATCTTTTTGGGATATCTATAATCAGTACATCAATGCAGACATGAGGAATTCTTTTTGATATCGCAGACTTGGCGACTACCATTAAAACTGGGCCCAAACATCCAACCAGCTTGCCTCGGTGACGTAAATTTAGGAGAAGATTGCATGATCTTCGGATGGAGTGGTTTTGATCAAGGTTTGATGAACTTATACAATATTTATATTATATTTCGTCTATCTATAATTTTAAATGTAATAGTTAATCCAGTAATCCGATCCAAAATTAATCCAATAATTATTTTTACTTGTTTGATTGGAGTTATGATTTGAAATAAATGAAATTGGTTTTGGTATTGTTTTTGAAATGTCGATAGTACTGATATCGTTTAAAAGCTCAGTAAATTACAACGATACCCAGCTGGTAGTTTTAAAATAATAATTAAGTGAACATTCCCTCCGGACTGAGCTTGTGCTTACTCGTCTGTCGTGGTGACACTGGAGAGGCTTTCGAGCCACCATTAAGCCTTACTTCCAAAAACAATAATATTGCAGCACAAAAGTGAATGATACATTGGAAAATAATGATTGAAAACGTATTATAATTGGAAACACTGTTTTCCACAGGTGTTCAGCTCAATCACCCTGCTTAATTTACTTTCCATACATATTATTTAGTACAGAGTTTGTAATTATAATTATCTTATAGCAATGAAGTCAAGGTCCAAATGGCAAAGGGTAACGACCGGCGATTGCGACGATATCGTAACCTCCTCCGAGCAAGAGATTCCAAGAACAGCATTCTGTGCTAAATTCCATTCTCGTCGCGCCGTGGTAATTTTTACATTCATTTAAACTACTTTTATTGTACTGTCTCTCTATGGCGTAATAATATTCGAGCAGCGAAATTTCTAAATCTAAATCTAAAATTAAAATCTAAAAGTACTGGAAGTTATTGTGAACTTGTATGATTGTTTTTAAAGGTTAAACTCACGTCGTGTCTATGAGCCATTAGGCTCAACGTCAGCTGGTCCATGAGTCCGCATTCTATTCCACAACAGTCTAGGTGTGGCAGAGCCAAAAACAAAACTAGTATCCTTCTGGATACTATTTAACGGATTTAATCCTTCTGGATACTAGTTTAATTCTTTAAATGAAAATTGACATTAAATTAAAACAGTAATGTCGTTGAAGTAGACATAGACATTTGAAGTCGTCGTGGCCTAACGGATAAGACGTCCGGTGCATTCGTGTTGAGCGATGCACCGATGTTCGAATCTCAGACGGGTACCAATTTTTCTAATGAAATACGAACTCAACAAATGTTCACGATTGACTTCCACGGTGAAGGAATAACATCGTGTAATAAAAATGAAACCCGCAAAATTATAATTTGCGTAATTACTGGTGGTAGGACCTCTTGTGAGTCCGCGCGGATGGGTACCACCACCCTGCCTATTTCTGCCCTGAAGCAGTAATGCGTTTCGGTTTGAAGGGTGGGGCAGCCGTTGTAACTATACTGAGACCTTAGAACTTATATCTCAAGGTGGGTGGCGCATTTACGTTGTGGATGTCTATGGGCTCCAGTAACCACTTAACACCAGGTGGGCTGTGAGCTCGTCCACCCAGCTAAGCAATAAAAAAAGACCTCTGTCGCTCCATACATGTGCCATGCGACACGCACACGCTCCCCGCTGCCTCCTAACAACCTGACCTACGCTAAGAGTCGATAAACATTGAGACTTCAATATCATGTCTTAGGGAAGATTTCGGTATTAAAGTTTTGACATCTCTGTACTCCACTAATCATAATTCGAGGGGTGAAAGCCTATTTGGTTTAAGCGACATTTTTTCAACTTTACAGGAGAGCATTAGGAGAGCTTTACATTTAGTTTAATAATTAAGAGAAAAAAAATATCATAACAAAACAACTTCTAAAGCTATTTGAATGAAAGAAGCTTTATTGAAATTTAATTAACAACATAGAACTGTTGATTTTAATACCAAATAAAACGCACCTTTAAATACAAAGATAAATGTCGTGTATTAAGCGAAATGTCACTTAAGCGGAATGGCCTTCGATATATGTAACTCGACACCTGTTTGCTTAGTGCGAACTTTTTAACGTTCTCGATAGCGTAAAAGTTAGCTCATATTTGTATGGAATGGGATCGTTTGCGTACGTTTGCCGCCAGGGGCGCTGTTCCAAATGCATACAAAAAAACTTCAGAGGTGTCAAGGGACACCCGGATGGAACGAAGTTCCTTTCGATTAATTAGTGAAGGAATTGTAATTTTTTTTTAAGTTATAATAATAAATTACGGCATTATGAAGAAGAAAAAAACAATACTATGAACTAAATTACTATTGTTGAAACCCTATCTCGAGAAACTGTACTCATTACGCGGACCAATCGGATACGAGCAATGTCACGCGATAAGCGCCTACACGTTGATTGGTCAGAATGACGGNCAGATCCAATAACCTTTGCATTAGACGCCTTCAGCTCTAACACTAGGAGCAGGCTTAGGGACCTCGGTAACCGTACTCGTCGAACTCGACAAAGAGTTCGCCGTGCAACCTAACCCATGAATCAGCTCGCCGAGTTTCTCGCCGGATCTTCTCAGCGGGTCGCGATTCCGATCCGGTAGTAGATTCATTCGCGAAGCAGCTGCTCTTGAGCTGTTAGGTCTCCTTCGGAGGCGCTCGGGTAGCTGTTAGCAAATCCCACCTCTCCTGGCTGAGCCTTTGCTCGCCCACCTGTCCTGGTGAAACTGGAAAGGCCTCCGGGCCACCAGTAAATATTCAATCATAAAAAAATAAATAAAACAATAAGTATTTGATTTCAGAACGGTATAGGAGGCTCCTTGATTTGTAACGTGGACGGTCGCTGGTCTTTAGTCGGCGTTGCCGTGTCTCGTCACATTTCGTTGGTGTTACTACCAGCTCGACCTTGGGGTTTGAAGGCTGGCAACTTTATAGACGGAATTTAAACAGGTCAGTCTTCTTGATTTGAAATTAAATTAAACAAGACCGTTATGTAACAGTTCACCTTGATCGTATGTGACCACGAAAACTGTAAAATATTCGACACATCTAAAGTAATATAGTGACTTTTTTTTAATAATAATTGTACACTCCAGGTTAAACAGTAAAAGAAGTTTTTATTCTGAAACTAAAACTATAGAATCGAGACAACGCTGACGTTTCAAACTTGCGTTTTTTTTTTCTTCAATAAAACAATAATGTTGATCGTTTTTATTTTATTTATTTTATTTATTTTACATTTAGATAATCATATGACTTAACCCATAACAATTTTACTATAAATTTAACAAAAGAAAAACGAATCTCCTTCCGCTCTGGGCAAATAAGACGACGCGGCAATGTCATAAGGAACTAACAACAACAAAAAAACCTAAATTACAATTGGGAATGTCGAGATCTCTTATATGAAACTAATACAACCATTTCGAACGCAAACAAAAAAAACTATTTATTTATATACTTATTACGTTCTTTGGCGTCACATCCTAAAGTATACAGCATGCACAATAACTAATTTAATGAATATTGTTAAACGCGATTCTTAAAACATTAAAACTGTGAAGCAGACCTTTGTGAGCGTAAATAGAACAGTGATCATTATTGAAAATAAAATCGGTCGGTTGCTTCTTTTACTCCTATAAAGAAGAATTGAGCTAATATAATAATTATAAGTCTTAGTTTCAGCCCACAACGGTCGAGAGACGCGCGAACATCATAACCATCATAACCGCGACCTCTCGTCCAACTAAACAATAATTTGTCGTAACTTAGTAATACTTACAGATTTCCTTCAGCGAAATATTTGTCGTCAATAAACCCGTTGCCTACTAGCTTCGTATTATAAATAATATTTGCGATACATAATATTTAATGCTATTTTATTTTCGTTCGTTTTTTTATTTTCTTAAAATATGACATAAACTTCTTTAGTAAAAAATTAAATCGATGAATCTAAAAACGAATATTTAAAAACTTTACTTTTAATATCACACAAAATATTTTTTTTTATGAATCAACTATACGCACACGTCAACTCATCTAAAATACTCAAAACAACAAAAACTATAGTGACCATTTCAAAAATAAATGTTCTAATAAACTAAAAAAAGCATGGAGTCGTTTTCTAGTTTTTTTTTTTTTCTAACAAATTATCAGTATGAAATCTTTTTTTGTCTTCATTATCTATCTTTTACAAATCTGTAACGGTGCCTGTTCGTTTTAATTACAGAACATTTTCAATACAAATTATTAACCCAGTATTTAGTCCGCCATATCGATAAGTTTGAAATTTCAACGACTATTCATTGTCTGAATGTGAAAAAGACATTTACTTTACAGAGCAAAAGTACGCAATCAAACTTAACGAATTAATTACGGGCAGTATGTGAGGACTGGGACATTGTTTTAATGCGTCGATAAAACACTAATATAATTTTTGTAACAAGATCACGATTGAATGATGATGCTCGTTCTGTCGCAGGCGCGTCAAGCGATCACCAGCGGCTCGTCGTCCGAGAAGCCTTGGATCGGAGGAACGTCGTCATCATCTGAAAATAAAAATATTTTGTATTCTATATTCCTCTATAATAAAGGCTATAATTGAATGCCTTCTTTATTCGGGTTTGACGAAATTGAGCTGGCAGGGCTTTTTGTTTTTGGTCAGGAGGAAATCGCCGGACTTCCGCCCTCCACTGGGGCTGGCGGGCGGAGCATGTCGGAGTCGAACCGACTAAAGCTTCCTGTCGCTCAACAACCAACGTCCAAGCCTCGCATGAGACAGAACTCATGAAAAGGAAAAGGGGGGGAAGTGAAGCGTTTAGTGCGGAGCACATCTCTCCCATCGCCCTCCCCATAGCTGGCAGGGGTAGGCTACTATGATCTTGCATATTTAATTTTATACCGTGTTGCAGTAATTTGTTTCGGTTTTAAGGGTGGGGTAGCCGTTGTACTATAGAACCGAGATCTGGAACTCGTGTTTCAAGGTGGGCGGTATTAACGTTCTCGTAATTTCGGATCCTCCCGATCCACTAACGGTGCTTTTAAGTACCTCAAGCACCGATCATCGTAAATTAACTCTCAGACACAGCCCACTGAGTTTCTCGCCGGATCTTCTCAGTGGGACGCGTTTTCGATCCGGTAGTAGGTTCTGCCAGACACTGCTCTTGCTAGGGTTCGTGTTAGCAACGTCGTCAGGTATGAGCCCCGTGAGCTCACCTAATAGTTAAGGTTACACTGAAATAGCCTCCCAAGGCTCTCAGCTTTGGTAGAAAAAAAAAAAACGATACGTAATTTCAAAATACAAATTCACAGACTTAAATGAATGAATAATTTTTTTTTTATTGCCCTTATAGGCAGACGAGCATACGGCCCACCTGATGGTGAGTGGTTACCGTCGCCCATGGACTTCAGCAATGCCAGGGGCAGAGCCGAGCCGCTGCCTACCGTTTAATACCCTCCACTCTCCAGTACCGGGGTCAGATACGTGGCAATAATACTGTCTCGCTTTTACCTTGGTCGGTGATGGTGGCGTGTCCGCGGCGGCTGTCGTAGCGCGGCGTGTGCGGCGAGTGCGGCGACTGCGCCGTGAAGCGCAGGAAGGAGCGCGCCAGACGGCGGTTCCGCACGAGCAGGTGCAGCAGCGCGCCGCCCAGCACCGCGCCCACCGCCAGCGCCGCGCCCGCCCCCCACCACACCGCCGACAGCGCCGACACAGGCTCCTCCGCCTCGCCTGACCGAGTACATTACACATATCAGTTAACGCTACAATATGAACATCTGCAGCTCAGACGAAACAAGCAAAAATGTCCAAAATTGAGTTTGTTTCGAAATTTTGTTTTTTACTCCTAACTCAATCAGAAGCTTTTGTATGTTTTTTTTAAAACTTAAAAACAGTTTCGTTGTACTTGCACACTTAGATTTTATTTTATTTGCCTCAAATTATATGAACTTATCATAAAATTATGTATTCCACATATTTGCGTGTACTATTATAATCTGCAGATTTCTGTTTTGAGAGGTTGTTTTAATAAGCAAACATATCAATCTAACGAGACCGACCTTCCATTTTCAAGGTCGGCATCTCGCTGAGGTCACTGCAGTACCCATCTTCAGTTAGGGCCCGCACGCCCACGTACAGCGTGCCACTGCCCCGCGGCGCCGACATCAGCAGCGGAGAGAACTCGGCTGTCATCGTCGTCATGTCGGGGGACGGGTTAATTAGATCCTCGGGTATTTCCTTCTTCGATACTATGATCTCGTATTTGTGTCTGAAAATTAATTATAGGTTTTATTAGCCGGACATCCAAAGCTTATAGGAGAACGTCGATGTGAAATCAAACTCCGACATCTATGAATAGAAATGTATTAAAAATGCTAGCTAGTGAACTATCTCTACTAAGAGAAAACAGATTAGTTTACGTTTCAATCCTCAAATGCAATTTAAATTTACTATTATGGCAAATATTTTATTAGTTACAATATTTAGATCTCACCATAATTAGATTATTAGTTAAATAAATTACACCATGTAGTTACACTAAACAAAATCTTTATCAAAGCTGAATCGTTCCAATGACAGATGCGTTTAAATTAGTAAGATGACGTCACAAGTATAGGTCGCTATAAACACTTTCAAACATAATCTAGGCTCAATCATTGTTTACGCTATAATAGTCTGAAAGTAATTGACTATTCTAATCTGATGGTATTTCGTCACATAATTAAGGTGGCTCACTTATGTTCCGGATGGTCGTGCTGAGGTCGATCGTCCCAGGAGACGAGCAGGTGTCCGGTGGGGGCCAGGAAGGCGGCCACGCCCACCGGCGGCGGCACGGGGCGGCTGCGGGCGCGCGTGCACGTCTCCACGGCGCCCTCCACATCCGCCTAACGACATAACACTATTTATTCTCTGACTTTATAATATTCGATACATCAACTAGTGTTGAGTGGTCATCGGAGCTCATAGACATCAACAACGTAAATGCCAATAGCCACCTTGAGACATGAGTTCTAAGTCTCAGGTTTTCAGTACAACGGCTACAACTCTTCAAAGCAAAACACATCACTGCTTCACGGCAGAAATAGGCAGAGTGGTGGTATCTACCCGTGCGGGATCACAAGACACCCTACCACTAGTAATAATTCATACCCTTAAAAACATAATCGCTTGCATCATGGCCTACTAAAGAAGTACGGTTAGGAACTAGTGATAACAATACTTTAAAACCACCAGTCTCTCTGATTAATAATCACAGTGTTTCTTATCTTTGAGATACACTGAGTTTCTCAAATTAAACATCATAATAATGCAGCATACCTTGACACAAATGTTGTATCGTCCACCGACTGGTACGTTGCGAATTACATGTTTGAAGATCGGCACCGTGGAAGGAGTTAATTCATATCGGCTAACCCTATCCCTTGTTTCTTCTGTTATTTTCAGCTAAAAGGTGCAACCAAAAAATTAAAACAAATCCATAAAAAAATTTGTACTTTTTAATTAAATTCATGGCATTTCTAAAGTAATAATTATCAATTTTCACTGGAAGACCAACAAATCTGAACTTTATTCTATCTACATTAATAAATATAGCTTAAAAACAACAACAAAAATGGCAAGCTAAACTAAAAATCAGGCAATCTTCTTTTCCTGATCAGAATTTTAGGGCATCGTGAAAGTAGTAAAATGAATATTTTATCATTAGAGTGTTGCATGCGCAAATTTTATTTTAAATTTAAATTATTTTGAAAGGTTCCGTTATATATATAAAGAATAAAAATAATAAAAGTGTGTTCAGAAATGAAATCTCTTACCAAATATGTAACTGGGTTTCGTAGGGCATCGCAGTTGGCATCCCAAGTGATCTTCATTTCGGCGTTTTTATCATCGTAAACAGCGATTAAATTCTTCACTGGTGCTCTGATGTACAAAAGATAGAACATTGTAAAAACAGAATCCGATAAATTATTAACAATTATTATGTCATTCCGGACCTTTATTATCTAGTGTATAGTATATTCCGTTAGCCTTGGCTATTTATAGATAATTAGCGACCCGCCCTCGCTTCGCTTCGGAAATATTAAAACACACATGAAACCAAAAAAATAAAATAAATAAAAAATTAAAAAAAAGTAGCCTATGTTCATCAGGGACAATGTCGGCTTCTAATGGAAAAAGAATTTTACAAATCGGTCCAGTAGTTTCGGAGCCTATTCGAAACAAACAAACAAACAAATCTTTCCTCTTTATAATATTAGTATAGAAGTATAGATTTAAAATTATTGTTTTCATATCTCAATATAATAATTGTTAGGTGGTGAGGGAAATTCTGAGCATGCATGATATTTAGATATTTCTGTCATAAAGTAGTAAAGCGATTCGATTTGGTAGATTAGATTGCTATTATTCAAACGTAGGCCTCGACTTCAAGTTCGAATATGGGTGATATGGTTCACATCTAGATGTCTATTGGGTAATAGAGACCACTGGACAGATCTCGCCTCAAATCTATCAATATTTTACTAGGAGCAAATAGCTTGGTTACCGAAACTGATATGCGAGTTATTTATTGAACTGAATAACTAAGCGAGAGATAAGCTTTTCAAATATTAAAATATTGACCGAAAGCAAAAAAAGTTTCCTTCTGTGTGACTGACGATTTCTATCGTTTTTTTTATAGTATGTCAATTTAGCAGCACTAAACTATCGATACATTCTCAGAGCGAGCGCTTACCTCGCACTTATGGCAACGTGTAGTGACGTACATCGGACGTATCGATAACAAAGTGGATTACTGCACTAAAAGGGTAAACAACTTAATAATGCACGCAAAACCTGCATCGCTGTATATATTCAAGTACGTAATAAATACATATTAGGCGTTTCCAGATATAAACGAATAAGGACTATTTAGTTTGCACGTGAGTGATCCGACCTATTAGTTATCGATAGGTTAGCGTTTGCACGTGCACGTGATTACATGGTACATAACACATATATTTCACACGTCTCGAGTATTTGTACTGTGCTGTATTCATTTTCGAGGTATCGCATCCTAATATGCCCGATACGAAAATAATACTCACTTGGCATTCTCTCTTGTTACGATTTCGATAATTCGAGCCAAAGGTCCCCCGAGGAGGCCAACAGTGAAAGAATAGCTCTCGCACTCATGTAAATTATCTATTTGGACACTAGTGTTCTTCGTAATAATCTTTGTATCTGGAAAGAAATGTTATTATTATTTATTTATTTCCTGCAGTAGAACTCACCTTGGTTTTGGCTATTAGAGTCAGTAGATAAAATAGAGACATAAGATTGAAGACTCGAACATGTTCACGGAATGTCGAATGGAGTGAAATGTGCAGGTATAGATCATGTATCTCACGCCGTGAGGGACTTGCCGGTGTAGTCGATGACAGAAACTTACCGTTCGACATATCTCCTGGATTTAATCTTCTTATGACATTACTATAATGAATCTCGTAAAAGAGTTCCTTATTTTTGTATCGCTCCCCTTTGGGTGGGTCCCAGGCCAGATGTACGGAGGTGCGTTTTTCCTTTAGCAGCATTGCGGTCAGGTTCAGCGTCTCGTCTGGTTCGCCTTCGGTTTTTAACGGCAGCGTAAATGGTTCGCCGTATATCGACGCTTTGTAAGCTTGTATATCGACGTTCAGAACGACGCCCGGTGGTAGATCCGTTACTGGAAGATAATTTTAGCTTATAATACAGAGTTGAATCGGAGCCCATCGACACGTCTCCGCGTACTCAAAGACTTTAATGTGCAGATAATATATAAATACATCACACCTTTAGAATTGAGGTAGCTTACTTCAAAATTCGTGTTTTTTGGTAAACGCCAAGAATGTAATTGAAGAATTCTATTTTTATCAGTTTCGATTTCAATACTTTAGACCTTAAAAGAGACGGAAAGTATACTTTATCTTTTTCTAGACTAAAATATATTTTAAATTTTAAAAATTTGATTTTGTAAACTGATGAATACATGTTTGTAAGTCGTTCGAAGTGTAAAACTCCTTTTCTTAAAACTTTTAATCAAGGCGCCTCAATTCTAAGGGAGCGATATGTTCTTGTGAGTCCGCACGGTTAGGTACCACCACCCCGCCTATTTCTGCCATGAAGCAGTAATGCGTTTCGACTTGAAGGGCGAGGCAGCCGTTGTAACTATACTGAGACCTTAGAACTTATATCTCAAGGTGGGAGGCGCATTTACGTTGTACATGTCTATTAGCCCGAGAGCCCGTGGGATCTACCTGTATGTATTTGACCAGACCTGAATTTTCGTACATTGAGACCCCTATACCTACCATGCATGAGGTGGGGACTCACTAAGCTCAAAGTGGTCGACGCGCCGAGCGCTCAGGTAGGACAGGTACCGATTTTGACGGATTTTAAATCCATTTGACCACGTCTGCCGTTTTGAAATTTTGAANCAAAACGGCAGACGTGGTCAAATGGATTTAAAATCCGTCAAAATCGGTACCTGTCCTACCTGAGCGCTCGGCGCGTCGACCACTTTGAGCTTAGTGAGTCCCCACCTCATGCATGGTAGGTATAGGGGTCTCAATGTACGAAAATTCAGGTCTGGTCAAATACATACAGGTAGATCCCACGGGCTCTCGGGCTATATGGGCTCTTGAAACCACTTAAACACCAGGTGGGCTGTGAGCTCGTCCAAACATCTAAGCAATAAAAAAATTAAAAAAAATGTTGTCAAGAAGCGATAGAGTTGTTCGTGTTACTAACTCGTAATGTTATTCGTTTGTATCTTGACCGGGTCACGTTTCGCGTAGTCCATGGGCAGCCGGACCTGCACGAGGTAGCCCTCGACCCCGCGGATCTTGTGCCACTCGAGGTACACGGCGCTGGCGTTGAGGCGCGCCATGCTGACGTTGGCCAGGTCATCCACGTCGCCGCCGTCGTCGAACGTCAGGTACATCACTTCGGACGAATTCGATGTGTATAGGCTGTTCAGCGATTTTACCTGAAACAGTAATTAATATAAACGGTACAGCTTTTTATTATTATTACTAGCTGACCCGGCAGACTTCGTGGTGCCTCAATCGATAAATAAAAGACTTTTGTATAAAATAAACTTAAAACAAACAAAAGGAATCCGTCCGACGGGGGGGACATCAAAGGCAAACAAAATAGTTTTTTTATTAAATTTAATTCCGAACATTGTCATATTTATCTAACCTTTTAAACCTTCCCTAGACCTCCACAAATTCAAGACCAAAATTAGCCAAATCGGTCCAGCCGTTCTCGAGTTTTAGTGAGACTAACGAACAGCAATTCATTTTTATATATATAGATTATCTGTATCGAACACTGCCTCGCCTGGGAAGACGACAGGACACACCGGCGAGGTGGGCAACAATCGGCCGGAGCGTTAGGGACTATTGAGAGAGAAACCGGCGAACTATACGGACATTGTCCAGCAAGGCTGCTTTTTGCATCTGGGCCGCCACCAACTTTTTGTTGACGCCAAGCCTCTCGAGATGTTTTGAGAGGCTTTTAGGGACCGACCAAACCATTCACCGATACAACTACCGGGATCATTATTATTTGCTCTGGGTAAGTGCAGAAATAAAAAAGAAAAGATAAGTGATCGCTTTGACCTAGAGATATGATGTCAGGACTGCTTCGCAACAGAAATAGGCAGTATGGGGGAATTTATTTGGTTTAGCGTAGTATGGACATGTGATGCGTAAACAGGAGATGTCTGCAAATGGTAGAGGGGGAAGAGGTCGACCGAAGAAGACATGGATGGAATGTGTGAATGACGATATAAGAGAGAGAGGAGTGAGTGTTGAGATGACGGCTGATAGAAGAGAATGGAATAGAAAAATTCGCCATGCCGACCCCACCTATTGGGGGATAAGATAGAGACAAAGAAGAAGGGGGAATTTATTTAGTTCAATGAGTGAGACAGTCGCAATACAATACAATGATGACTTCGACCGCTCCGAATGCCAAGGATAGTATTCTAGTAAACACTTTACAGCAAGTGGTCCTTCAGCCCCCTCACCCATTCACGTTATAATTAAATAAGTAAAGTGGTGTCATGGGACACAAGGTAGGAACGAATTTTCTTCGGAGAATATAGTAGTAACAAAATTTAAAAAATAATTATTGCTATTTTTATATATATACCTAGTCAGGTCATAAGTATTGTCACACAGTAAAAACTTTTCTTTTAGAATGCTGGCCACAAAAAAGTTTATTGAATTCGAATTTCGAATTGTTCATGAAAATAAAAATATATACTTTTAGAATTTTACTCATTTTTAAATATGGAGTGGACGCTTAAAGAAGACCGTGTTGCAGTTATTGCGTTGCATCATTGCGGTTACGCGCCAATTCAAATTTTTAACATACTGAAAAATTTGACTATAACCAAAAGATTCGTTTATCGTACCATCAAACGATACAATGAAGATTCTAGTGTAGATGACAGGTCAAGAAGTGGTCGCCCTCGGTCTGTTATGACTCCAGCAGTGATAAAAGCTGTGAAGGCGCGAATTCAAAGAAATCCCAAACGTAAGCAGAAACTGTTGGCCCTTCAGATGGGGTTAAGCAGAACCACGGTGAAAAGGGTGTTAAATGAAGACTTAGGGCTTCGGGCATATCGAAGAAAACCAGGACATCGTTTGAATGCTCGTCTAATGGACCTGAGACTGAAGAGATGCCGCGCTTTGTTGAAGCGGTACGGGGGAAAAAAATATCGGGAAATTCTTTTTTCGGATGAAGAAATTTTTACCGTAGAAGAGAGCTACAACAAACAAAATGATAAGGTGTACGCACACAGTAGTGAAGAAGCGAGCAACCGTATTCCGCGTGTCCAACGAGGTCATTTTCCATCCTCGCTCATGGTATGGTTGGGAGTTTCTTATTGGGGCTTAGCAGAGGTACATTTTTGTGAGAAAGATGTGAAAACGAATGCAGCTGGGTATCAAAATACAGTCCTGACGAACCTTGTGGAACCTGTTTCTCATACCATGTTCAATAACAGGCACTGGGTATTCCAACAAGATTCGGCGCCAGCTCATAGAGCGAAGAGCACACAAGACTGGCTGGCGGCGCGTGAAATCGACTTCATCCGGCACGAAGACTGGCCCTCCTCCAGTCCAGATTGGAATCCGTTAGATTACAAGATATGGCAACACTTGGAGGAAAAGGCGTGCTAATAGCCTCATCCCAATTTTGAGTCACTCAAGACATCCTTGATTAAGGCAGCCGCCGATATTGACATGGACCTCGTTCGTGCTGCGATAGACGACTGGCCGCGCAGATTGAAGGCCTGTATTCAAAATCACGGAGGTCATTTTGAATAAACTTTAGTGTCATAAGAATCTATGTTTTGTTAAGTTCATTTTGGTATATGAATGNGTGCTGCGATAGACGACTGGCCGCGCAGATTGAAGGCCTGTATTCAAAATCACGGAGGTCATTTTGAATAAACTTTAGTGTCATAAGAATCTATGTTTTGTTAAGTTCATTTTGGTATATGAATGGTTACATAATGAATAAACTTGTTTCAATTATTTTACATTAAACATGTGACAGAATTTATGACCTGACTAGGTATTTGTTTTTTTAAGTCTCACATTTATTTTCCGTTTAGTCGCGCAGTAAAATCCCTATCTCTTCCAATTCTGCCGTAAGGAACTTCGTTCCTAAAAAATAAGACAATAAAGATACTCACCCAGAACGAATAGTTCGTCTTAGGCATAAAGTATCCTTTGAATATGACCGATTGTGTTTTCGTGTCGTTGGCGTGAATGATTTTCACGATGGGCGGGTCGGGCGGCGAGTAGTACAGCTTGTAGTAGCGTATGACCCCGTTGGGTACTTCGGGCCGGTCCCACAGCACCTCCACGCGGCTCCCGATGTTCTGACGTACCGTCACTCTCAGAGGCGGCGAAGGTACTAGAAAAAATTAAGTTCGCAATTAATCTCTATAAACACATCATACAGGACCCTGAAAGTCCTGAAACTTCGATACTTTAAAAGAAAAAAAAATTTTTTGTATGAAAACTATCAACATCTGGTAGCGGATGTCCTTAAACTTATATTTTGTTATTATTGTATAACTAAACAGAAAAAAATAAAAATAATAAAAATCATACAAGTCTTTATTTGTTATAGACAAATTGATAAAATTTAATCAATTTAATTTTATAAAATTTTATCAATTTGTCGTTTCTGAAAATTTACAAAATCCTACATTAAAAATAAAATATAGGATAGTTAATGTTACTGCCATCTACAGGAGCAATGAGAAACTAATCGAAGTGAAGCCATCTAGTGGCCGACGCCCGTAAACATTTTTGTTGAGTCCTTGAATTGCTTATCCGTAACTAATTAATGTGTATTACTTATGACATCATAATGGAAACTCGAAAAAGAATCTTCGGCGTGAATTGACAGAGTCTGTTACGTAACGTTTAATTCAATAGATTTTAGAGAATGCAAATACTGTTAAAATCAAAAGGAAATTAAAATATGTATCGGGGGTGAAAGGCGACATTTTTGCAACTTTACGGAAAGACCGTTTCAAGTTTAAAATTTGGAAAAAACTAAAAAACGCAACTAAAAAACTTCTTCAGCTATCTGGATGAAGTAAATGTAATTAAGATTCCATTCAGTTGATGCTAATACAAAATAAAACGCATCTTTAATTACAAAGATATATGTCGCTAAATCACACGTTCACCCCTTGACATATTATATTATATAATAATTTATATATGTTTGTTGTAACATTCACATTATTATTGAGATCGAATATGTACGTACTTCCTTCGCCTGTAGTCGTGTTCACGTATTTACTTGACGCATATGTCTTATTCAATCTGCTGTCCCATATGTAAAACGTTATATTATAGTTCGTGAATGGCTTCAGATTTGTAAATCTGTTGACAAAAACGTATCTTTNAATATGTACGTACTTCCTTCGCCTGTAGTCGTGTTCACGTATTTACTTGACGCATATGTCTTATTCAATCTGCTGTCCCATATGTAAAACGTTATATTATAGTTCGTGAATGGCTTCAGATTTGTAAATCTGTTGACAAAAACGTATCTTTATTAATTTCAATTAATTAAACATATCTTTTATTATATATATATATATATATATATATATATATATATATATATATATATATATATATATATTTCGTACGTATACATATACGTATAAATATTACGTATAAATATTTCTTGTTGAGAAATTTTCTGATTTAATTTACAGCTAAGTTGGTCGCCAGACATAAAATTGATTGACATGAAGCCAAAATTCTTAGAATAATTTGTAACGCATATCCTTCCGCATATCCAAATATACGGTAGGCAGCGGTTTGTCTATGTCCCTGGCATTGCTAAAGTCCATGGGCGACAGTCACCACTAACCACTCAGGTGAGGCTGTACGCTAATCTGCCTACTAGAGCAATAAAAAAAATGTATTTTTAGGGTATAAAGTGACCGGAGTCCTCACTCATCCTGAGATATGAAATCGAATGATTGAATGTACTACTTCAAAACAATGTTCTCCCCACGCTTACCTTTACCAACATCACCGATAAAGCTTCGAGACGATATATTCGAATCGACGCCGAAGTAAGGAAAGCTATTGTATGAAGTGCCAATTGAGATGATGAATGTTGCATCGTATGCGACTGAACTGAATGACGTAGCTTTCATGCTCTAAACACTTACATTTACAAGCTCACACATTTTTTTTTATTGCTTAGATGGTTGGACGAGCTCACAGCCCACCTGGCGTTAAGCGGTTACTGGAGCCCATAGACATCTACAACGTAAATGCGCCACCCACCCTGAGATATAAGTTTTTAGATCTCAGTATAGTTACAACGGCTGCCCCACCCTTCAAACCGAAACGCATTACTGCTTCGCGGCAGAAATACGCAGGGCGGTGGTACCTACCCACACGGACTCACAAGAGGTCCTACCACCGGTAAAAATGCGACTGAACTGAATGGACGTAGCTTTCATGCTCTAAACACTTACATTTACAAGCTCACACACAATCCTTACCTATAAACACTGTCATTTGTCCAGGACATGTTCATCCATTTACCGTCGCCCACTTCAGATATAGACGGCAGGAAATTATAGACGACGGTCTTCTGTTGCGGCATCCAGCACGACACGAGGAAACTCGATGAATTTATTGAGGACTGATCGACTCCGATACTGAGGAACTTAAAGACAAAATTAAGAGTTAGCAGATTGATTAGTCATTCTCTCTTGTTATCTTATCTATGCGATGTTCTTGGGCGATGATAATTATTCACGACTAGTTGTTAATAACAATGGGAGAACCATGAATACAGCTGCTTAGTCATCAGCCAAAGCAAACGAATAATATAACATTATTAATTTCACTTACATTTTTTAATTGAAAATTGTTGAAAAGCATGTACTAAATTTATTGACAAAGATTTAACTGTCAGGAAAATAGATTGTAAAGCATTATTGCCAAATTTAATGGTTTTCAGTGTATCATCTGATACGACATCACGAGCAACAAATATTTCTGTCCAATAACGTAATCTGAAGCCGGGCAATACAGGAGTCTGTTAAATCCATTTTTAAAATTATAATTGTGTTTCAACGATTTCTTTTCCCCTGGACCCTTAACCCTTTGCACTCGAGAGGCGAGTCTCGCTCACCACTTTGTTTTAGCCCCGAGAGCTCACCTACTCGCTCGGTTACGCTGCCGTAACCTCTCAACAAGTTCAGGTAGGAATAAAAAAAAAAGAAAAAAAAAAAAAAAAACAGTGCATAAATATTACCTGATAAGCGCGGTTGTCTTTACTGAAACAGTTCTGTTCGTCGGTTCCGTCGTAACAATCTTCTCGGCCGTTGCACACCGCTGCCTGAGCGACGCAGCGGCTGTGGTCGCACTGTATGTAGCCCGGCGGACATTCCATCGGTGGGTTTTGTTCCTGTCGATAACAATATTAAGTACTAGCTGTACCCGTCTGCTTCACTGGTCGTTTAAAATTAACATTATTATTTCTCACGCCCACAAATATTCTCATCATTAACGCCCCCGCAACTGGTGTAGGGAGTCCAACACTCATATAAATATTAGCCTATCCATTAAGTACATGTATTTTCAACATGGATACCAAGTTTCAAGTCAATCGGATGGATGGTTCAGTAGTTATAACGGAACATCCGTAAAAACCACTGTAGATTTATATATTAGTATAGAAGTATAGATTGAACACAAGCTTGTTGTAGGAAATCAAAAGGAACTATACAAAATTAATACGAGCAGATAGGATATTTTAAACAATTTTCAAAAGTGTTTCGTTGGGAACATTTTTATTATTGGAATCAACTAGTTTATTGATTACTTTAAGAGGTTACATACAGGGTGTATTAAAAATGTCGAAAGCGTTAGAATGTCGATTTTTCCTGATATAAAACAAAAAAAAAACAGTAATTTTTACATTAGTCTCCGTTGTCTATTCACTAGCAAAACTGATGAGGATCACGGGCTGATTATTCTATATTATATCAATGCAATCGAATCATTACACTAGAAAAGCCCACAGTACATTTTACAATCTCATAATTAGGTAACTAATGTTTAATGATAAAATTTCAATTTCATATGTGAATGCTAACGCTCTGCCTCCGATATAAACTGGCATCGACTATCAATCCTCATCAAAAACATGGAATTATTCATATTTCAGAGAATTACGTGATTTATATGTTCGTTATATTAAATAATGATATCGGTCAAGGGTTGTCACTAACAGTCCGTCCGGGGCAGTGCGCCTCGTCGCTTCCGTCGGCGCAGTGCGGCGTGCCGTCGCAGAGCAGCAGGTCGCTGATGCAGGCGCGGCCGTCGGCGCACGGCGTGAGGTCGGCGGGGCAGCGCGGGGCGGGGCGCGGCGTGACGGCGGCGTGGCGCTCGCAGCCGAGCTCGTCGCTACCGCCCGCGCAGTCCTCCATGCCGTCGCACACCCACGACAGCGGAATGCACACGTCTGAACGAACATTTTTATTACCTTTGTAGGTAGACAGCCCAAAATTATAGTTTTCATAATTACTGGTGGTAGGACCTCTTGTGAGTCCGCGCGGGTAGGTACTACCACCCTGCCTATTTCTGCCGTGAAGCAGTAATGCGTTCCGGTTTTAAGGGTAGGGCAGCCGTTGTAACTATACTTGAGACCTTAGAACTTATATCTCACTATGGGTAGCGCAATTTACATTGTAGATGTCTATGGGCTCCAGTAACCACTTAACAGCAGGTGAGCTGTGAGCTCGTCCACCCAGATGAGCAATAAAAAAAAAAGAACCTGATGGTGAGTGATTACCTTCGCCCATGGACTTCAGCAATGCCAGGGGCAGAGCCAAGCCGCTGCCTACCGTTGGTATTCGGCTAAATATCATTAAACACTCACCATTCGGACACGTGAAATAGGTCTTGGCGCATTTCGGCAGAACTTTAACGGATATGACGGGCTTCCTCTCCGGCACGACCATGCCGCATCCGCTCTCGTCCGAGTTGTCTCCGCAGTCGTTGATCTTATCGCACCTCCACCAGTCCGGGATGCAGTTGCCGTTCTCGCACTTATACATCCAGTTGAGGCAGGTCTTGTTCGCGGGGAATATCGGTCTGTCCGCGGCGGGGTCCGGCAGGAACTTGGAACGTCCGGTGTTCGTGCAATTCTGTTCGTCCGATTTTTCAATGTCCGTGCAATCGTTTTCTCCGTCGCAAACCTGATTGAATTTAGAATTAACTTAAATAGTCTAAAAAAATATATATTTTTATTATTACCAACAGAAAAGTTTTGAGAGTGAAATTAGTTTACTATTTCACAATCAATACAATTTATGTTCATTATAATAATATTACACTACATAATTAAGGTTGTTATTTATATGTTATATATATATATATATATTTTATTGCTTAGATGGTTGGACGAGCTCACAGCCCACCTGGTGTTAAGTAGTTACTGGAGCCCATAGACATCTACAACGTAAATGCACCACCCACCTTGAGATATAAGTTCTAAGGTCTCAGTATAGTTACAACGGCTACCCCACCCTTCGAACCGAAACGCATTACTGCTTCACGGCGGAAATAGGCGGGGTGGTGGTACCTACCCGTGCGGACTCCCAAGAGGTCCTACCACCAGTTATAATTATGTTCGTGTTATTTTAACATTTATATATGTATATAGGGTGAAAGGCTATTTGGTTTAAGCGAAATTTTGCTTTTATCTTTGTAATTAAAGGTCCATTTCATTTGGTAATAAAATCAACAATTCGATGTTTTTCATTGAGCTTCGTACATGTGCATACCACGTTAACCATCCGCTCCTTTTAATTACTAGCTTTTGCCCGCGACTTCGTCCGCGTGGAATAGTTGCTTTGGCATAACGTAAAATTTTACCCACCTCTTCATTTACGTAGAAAATTAAAATATTTTTGAATAACAGTAGTAGTCAGTAGTTCCTGATATTAGCGCGTTCAAACAAACAAACAAACAAACAAACAAACAAAAACTCTTTAGCTTCATAATATTAATATAGATTATATAGCCTTCCTCATTAAATGAGCTATCTGACACTGAAATAATTTTTCAAATCGGACCAGTAGTTCCTGAGATTAGTGCGTACAAACAAACGGCTCGACGAGCGAATTAACCCATAGACACAGCCCACTGAGTTTCTCGCCGGATCGTCTCAGTGGGTCGCGATTCCGATCCGGTGGTAGATTCTGCGAAGCACTGCTCTTGCTAGGGTCAATGTTAGCAACACTCCAGTTTGAGCCCCGTGAGCTCACCTACAAACGTTAGGGCGAAGCTGAAATAGCCTTTCAAGGCTATCAGCATAGGTAGTGTAGTGAGCAGCTCGCCTAACCTATTCGTAACTGCACAAACTAAATTATGACAGTATTACACGAATATAATTAATTTATTTTTTATAAAAAAAAAGAACACAATATTCCTAACCTAAAAGTACATGTTATTATCCGCAGCATGCTTCGTCAGATTACAGAAATAAAGTTATCAGCAACATGCTTCGTCAAAAAGTACAATACTTACTTTCAGCTGCAAGCGTCGTCAATACATTTTACACGAATTACACGAATTGTCGACTTGAACAGTTTTCTTTTATTTGGCCTACATCACTCCAATACAGTAGGAAAAAAAAAGTGGATAAAATTTAGCATTATGCCAAAGTAGCTATTCTACGCGGACGGAGTCGCCGGCAAAAGCTAGTAATAGATAGTACATTCAGCCGTTTAACCGGGTTCTCACCCAGGATCTGAAGATGCACTTCCCGCTGGGGCACCGGAACATGTTGGGCGCGCACGTGGAGTCCTTGCAGCGCTCCGGCTCCTCGTTGGTCCCCTCGGGGCAGTCGCGCTCGCCGTCGCACACCCACGAGTTGGGCAGGCACGTGCCGGACTCGTTGCCGCACGCGAAGTCGTTGTTCGAGCACGGCGTTATTTCAGAGTGCTTTATGTGTACCTGTGGTGAAAAAAAGAAAAATTTTTGTTACGCGCTGCTTCTTATGTATCGTTCCCTCACTACTGAGGATCACGACCACATGCGACGTACTTCCAATGTGCTTGATCATGGGTGGCATGGACTGCATGGTACAGACTACCACCGAGTTCTTCTCTTACTAAATCTGACCATCTGGCTGGTGTTCTGCCCACGACGCGCTTGCCCTCTATGCGACCCGTAATTATGAGCTTCTCTAATTCATGTCTGGGAGACCGCATGATGTGTCCGAAGAAGCCCATAACACGTTTCCGGCAGATGGAAGAGAGCCTTTTTCGGATGTTTAGCTGCCTTAAAATGGAGTCATTTGTTCTCATGGCAGTCCACGGTATTCGTAGCATCCCCCGCCACACCCACATTTCAAAGGCATCGATCTTTTACGCGCTGCGGTTCGGGATAAATAAAATTCCATCAAAGTACAACTAAAAACTGTATTCAACACTTAGAGCACTTAAAACACTTCACAAACACTTCAAAAGTCTCAATTCGTTTCTTCCGTTTCGCTTCAGGTGATCCGTTCGCTTGTTTCGTTTCAAGTAGTTCCGATTACTAACTGACTGCGTGCCCTCCCTGCAACGCTTTTATAGAAGATGCCACATCCCTAGAATTATCGAGAATATTCCACACATCTCTAGTATTGTTTCCGCTATCTGACAATAGATGGCGTTGTTCTTCTCGAGCTTTCTGGGTGCTATTAGATCCTTCGATAATCGTTCGAATATTCGGCGATAGATGGCGTTACTCTTACCGGCGTAACAATATTTTAAAGGTTCTCAAATTTCATTTAAATTACAACAAACATCATTACAAATTAAATTTAATTGCATCGATCCGAGTAGAACTACGGTAATGTACTTTTTCTGCACGCGAAGCATAAATGTGTGCCCACGGCGAATCCGATTAAACTTGTTACCAGATTACATAAACTTGAAATAATTTGTAGTGTAGTAACGACACAGAGATTAGAGGGTAGGCGGTACTGAGACGCGGTAACAACATAGACCGTAAAAAAGTTATTTAAAAATATAATTTAGTGAATTTAGTGATAAAAAATCGTACAAGTGGCAAATAAACTAGTGAATATGACTATATAGTGAAGACAAGGTCCCAAGTTAACGAATAATACACAAAATACTTAAAAAAAAATGAAGTTTTAACAAACGACAATCTAAGAACTTTTCCAGTTTTTTCTCGCGAATCCAGGAATTTAAATTATATTAGTGTTAATCTATGAAAGTTCCGGAGTGCAAATAAATGAAAATCGCGTAAGTTATTCCTTTTTTGGAAAAACATAACTTCTTCCCTGAATGAGTCTGCAATTTCGCCTGTCATAGAAAATAAACTGCGAAACAGCGCCATCTATTAGGAAAAAGGCAAATTACGTTCGATTTACACACAAAAAATTATATCTAGTTCTACTAGAGGACGCAACAAGTACCAAAACAAAACAAACAGACACTATGGAGGAAATTATGAAAGCCTTACAAAATATTCAAAAAGAACTGAACGCACAAAAAATAGAAATTCAGAAAAATGGCGAAAAGGTGACAGAACAAGTAACACTCAACATAACCAACAAATTAGAAGAGAAATTTACCATATTGGAAGAAAAACATCAGACCTTGAAAGAAAATGTTGAACAACAAGAAAAAAGGATTCAATTTATGGAAAGACAAGCAAGACAAAGAAACATAATTTTCTTCGGTATCGAAGAGAGTGAGACATCCTATCATAATTTGGAGAAAAATATGTTGCAATTCATAAGTGAAAAATTGTCCTTAAAATTGGATTGTAGAGATATTCAGGAAATAAGGAGAGTGGGAAAAAAATGTGATAAACCGCGACCAATAATTTTAACCTTTTCTACCCTTGGTTCAAAGGTCAGCATTCTCAAGCAAAGAAGATTATTAATAGATACCCAATACTACTTGAACGAAGATTACCCTAAATACATATTAGAAAAAAGGAAAGAACTACAGGAAGAAGCAAATAGAGAGCGCGAGAAAGGAAATAAAGTCACGATAAAATACGATAGACTTGTTTTATTAAAATCAAACAACAAAAGAACACTGATGACTTCACCAGAGTCAGATCCCAATTCTCAAGCACTAGTTCGTAAAAGTACAACAAGACCCACTAAGAAAAGCAAAATAAAACAAGCAAACCCATCTATACCTAGATCAAACAGTGTCTCAGAAGGAGTTCTAAAACCTAGTATTCTAAGCTATTTTAGTAAGCAATAACNATGACTTCACCAGAGTCAGATCCCAATTCTCAAGCACTAGTTCGTAAAAGTACAACAAGACCCACTAAGAAAAGCAAAATAAAACAAGCAAACCCATCTATACCTAGATCAAACAGTGTCTCAGAAGGAGTTCTAAAACCTAGTATTCTAAGCTATTTTAGTAAGCAATAACGTCAACACACCACATAACCAAACCAACGACAATACAACCAATAACTTACATTCATAGCAACCAACTGCTCCCTCCCTCAACGATGCAACATTTAATTAATTTCAACGAAGCAACAAAAACCATCTTCCAATCCGGCTGGTCACCGTGGAAGATCAAGACCATAACCCTCTAAGGAAGATATCTTAAACTTCTTCAATAATAAGAAAATGGAACACAAACCCAAGAAATATTTCACTCAACTAAAGAGAAGAAAGATCAGCTTTACATAGTAACTTACAACGTCAGAACTTAATAATAAAACAGCTGTTATTCTTTAGAGGAGGCCTTCACCTTCACTTTAGGAGGGGTCCATGCAAACAAACTTCTATATATTTTTTTAAAAACGTTGTCTAGATTTATACTTTTGTAAGGAAACGGAAGGGAGAGAGAAGGGAAGCAAATTAAGTGAAACACGTGTAATAACATCAGTACTTTTTTTCTTCTTCTCTTTTCTTCTTTATATTTTTTTAATATTATATTTAAAATATGTATGCAACCTACTATTTGTATGGAATAAAAGGCTTATTATTATTATTATTATTATTATTATAACGACACACACACACACTCCACAATATCGATAACTAAGTCGACTATTCGTCATGGAACAGTTCGTGCATTATATTATACAACTAAAATTACAAATACCAATATGTTATAAAGACATTATTACCATGCAATTACGCTCGTCCGAGCCGTCTTGACAATCATTATCGCCGTCGCAGACCCATCGTTTCTCGATACAATGACCATTGCCGCATTGGAACTGACTTTCGTTGCAATGGAGAACGGCGCAATCTAAAAGAAAACCATGCTATGAGGAAAAAACTAGTAACTCCAAAATCATTTTTAATTAATGAAAAAAAATTATCTTTGTTTTATGTTATTACGATAGAACGCTTAGAACTATACGCCTACTTCATTCCCGATCCTGCGGACAGAATGGAAAGCAGTCGACGTCGCCAAAAACACGTCATCTCGGATCCTCCCGATCCACTAACGGTGCTTCTAGGTACTTCAAGCACCGGTCACCGTTCTCGTCGAACCCGTCGCTTGCGACGAAGGGCTCGACGAGTAAATTAACTCTCAGACACAGCCCACTGAGTTTCTCGCCGGATCTTCTCAGTGGGTCGCGTTTCCGATCCGGTGGTAGATTCTGCGAANTCCTCCCGATCCACTAACGGTGCTTCTAGGTACTTCAAGCACCGGTCACCGTTCTCGTCGAACCCGTCGCTTGCGACGAAGGGCTCGACGAGTAAATTAACTCTCAGACACAGCCCACTGAGTTTCTCGCCGGATCTTCTCAGTGGGTCGCGTTTCCGATCCGGTGGTAGATTCTGCGAAGCACTGCTCTTGCTAGGGTTTGTGTTAGCAACGTCATAAAGTTTGAGCCCCGTGAGCTCACCTACAAAAGTTAGGGTTACGCTGAAATAGCCTCTCAAGGCTCTCAGATTAGGTAGGAAAAAAAAAAAAAAAATTCCTACCGTCTAAGTTCGCTAAAGTTAAATCGAAGTATAAAAGAAACAGTTTACATGTCGAACGATAATTAATCCAAAACATCATCAAATTTCCTATCCAAGATTTACCATTTTTTCTGGATCGGATGCTAGGTTGCTAAAAGAAGATGATGAGACAAAGAGATAGAAGTCATGTTTTAATACCAAAAAATGGATAATTGTGCGTGACATTATACTGGGGGAGTGTGTGAGAGGGAAACATTCTCACTAAGCACATTTTGCTGGTAATATTAATTTATAGATTTTTGTTATTGCTTAGGATGGACTAGCTCACGGCTCACCTGATGTTAAGTGGCCACCGGAGCCCATAGGCATCCACAACTTAAATGCCGCCACCTACCTTGGAACATTAGTTTAAGGTCTTACTTTTTACAGTACAACGGCTGCCCCGCCCTTCAAACCGAAACGCATTACTGCTTCACGGCAGAAATAGGCAGGGCGGTGGTACCTACCCGTGCGGACTCACAAGACGTCCTACCACCGGTTCGATGGTGCGTTCGTAAACAGTTTAATTTTTTTAATGTTTTCACCTTTCTCGTCGCTCATGTCGGGACAGTCGATCTCTCCGTCGCATTTCCAATGCGGCATGTAGCACTTGCTGGTGTCGCAGGGGATCATGGGGGGCGCGCACAGACAGCCCATCTCGTCCGAGAGGTCTCCGCAGTCGTTGTTCGCGTCGCACCGCCACGATATAGGTATGCACTTGTTCGCGTTCTTACATGTGAATTGTTCCTTGAAAATTAAAAAAGAGGTATCGTTAGGTTAAAGGATTTTATGCCCTGGTAACTAAGACCTTTAAGTCATGTCTTATTTTAATTGATATTCTTAATTTTATGAAAAATAATAAATATGGAGTGAAATGAAATGAAATGAAAATGATTAATTTGGGACATTAATCAACTGGGACGACATTAAATGAAATGAGATGATATGGGATGAAATATAATCTCAGTAAAATGGTGGTCATTTACTGAGATTTTTTCAGTGGACTTTTTGGAGGATCCCGAGAATACGTCCAGGAGCTTTGTTTCATTTTCCCATATTTGTGCACATTCACAGATATTAAACAGTTAATAAACCACCGTTATTACACATTTAAGCCTGAAGAAACACAATTTTTTTTTTATTATTGCCTTTGTAGGCAGACGAGCATACGGCCCACCTGATGGTGAGTGGTTACCGTCGCCCATGGACTTCAGCAATGCCAATGGCAGAGCCAAGCCGCTGCCTACCGCTAAATAGACAAAATAAAACAAATCACACAACTTCACTCCTCGGGTTCCCGCCAAAAAGTCCAAAAAACGATATCCATTCAAAGTCCAGTCCTTTATTATACAGGGTGTGTTTAAAACTTTCCCAAAGAGATTTAGTACTGATAATTCCAGACATTCCTAACATCTTCCTCAAAGTTGGACATAATTGCCTGGAGCACAGCGGAGCGGTTGCCTACTGCTGGGGACTTCTCAATTTACCATTTTTTTTATTGCCATCAATGCAACATGTTAAAAAGTTTTCTTTTATTATATTCAAAAAAAAATTTGAAACTGGAGACGTTGAGCCACGGTAATCACGAAGCATCAACTAATCAATCAGGTAATCAATAGATATTGATTTCCTTTTACGAGTAATAGCCTAATAACAATTCGGAATGGTACGTTATCACCCTGTATGCACTGTGTGTGATCAAAAAGTCGAGCGGCATTCTGATACTAATGGGTACAACATGAGGTCAGCTCATTGTGGCAATAGCGAGCATGTTAAAAAAGGAAACTCAGAAAAACATTAATCACACAGAACAACAACACAATGAAAGATCTCCCCTGTATCATTCACTTTAAAACAACTTTCATTTTCTTGAAAACTGCGATGTCTATGACTTTCGTATAGTTACACTATTTGAGCGTCCTGGATCATGTCTCTGTCTACGCCAACCAATCGAAACAGTATAAAGAGAAGGTGCTCTCACACTTACCGGTCCGCAAGTAGCGCCTGGCGCAATCGGGCATGTCATGTTGACCGACGGCTTCGAGTTATCCGGACACACGCACGTGCCGTTCACGTTCTTGAAGCCGTCCGGACAAAGGCAGCTGTAACTGTTGCCCGGCGCTCCCAGGCACAGCGCGTCGCAGCTCGTGTTCTTGTACGAGCAAGCGTTGCTGCCGTGTTGGACGAAGTGCGCAAACACCTTCAAGTCCATCAAACCGGAGAACGAGTTATTGATCGTGATGACGTTCGCTCCGGTATCTTTGTCCGCTATAAATATAGATTTCGCTTTCCAATCGTCCCAATACACCTTGTCCTTTAAAACGGCCACGGCAAACGGATGTATGACCTTAGTGTCGTCCCATAAGATCCTCCTGAAATATCTCCCGTTCAAGTCCGAGCTCGCGATGTAATCCTCCATGGCGTCGACCCAATAAATCCTTTCCGACATTTGATCGATCGTTAAGCCGTTCGGCCATTGAACTATGGGCTTCCCGAAAAGCTTCTTCACGTGCGTGCCGTCGAGATGCGACCTAGAAACCGACGGAGCGTGCCTATCCCAATCGGTCCAGAACAAATACCCCGCTCTGGGATGCACCGCAATACCTCTAGGCTTCGTCAGCACATTATTGTCCAGGATCGTGACTCTCATTCTGCCTTCGTTCGTCAAATCGGTGCGCACTGCCTCAATCTTCTTTCTTGATCCATCCACGAAGAACAGAACGTTCGAGATCCAATCGAGGGCCATGCCTTCGATGCTCGCTAAGTCCGTGTCGACGACGACCTCTTGCGTTGTGCCGTTATTGAAACACTGCCTGCTGATCTTATCTAGTTCTATGTCGCCCCAGTAAATACAATTGTTCTTCAAATCGAATTCTATGGCGACTATGTTATTTTGTCCTTCGACGGGGTAGATGGTTGTATTGTCGGATAAATCGATGCGGGCAATTTTGTCTCTAAGTGCTACTAACATGAACTCAACCGGTTCTTCAAGGGGACACGGTATGATATCTGAGGCGTAGGGCGTGTATCCACTGATCGTGCACACGTCACCGTCTATTTTCCTGTAGCCCTTGGTCCGCTTGTAGTGCTGGCCCGGGCGACAGTACACGGGTACGGCGTAAGGATCGAACTTCACCGACTTGTTCTGAATGCACTCCTCGCCGGATAACATAAAACCGAAATCGCATTCGAAGTCTCGACGGCTGCATTCGCAGACTTCCCTCCTGACAGGTCTTTGGTAATCGATTCCGTTGTAACAGTTCGTGTGGGGGAGGCGTCGCTGAAAGATATTCCTCGAGCCGAGCACACACGACACGGACGAATTCGGCGGCGAAGGCGACCAGAACTTGTAATCCTCGTTCGTACAGTTGCGGGCAAAAGTGTTTCTCAAGTCTAAAGTGATAATGATCCACTGATGTTGATCGTTCGCTGAACCGAACATTGTAAACGTCGTGGTATTTTCGCCGGGTTCTGTCATCAGCCCGTAGATCCGAAGGTCATCGGCATTGAACCTACAAATAGAACAAATATTTATCGTAACCGATTCTCAATATAAATACCAGTTGCATACAATAGTCAATATGACTCACTGATAAGAATTCCACTCGATGCCTTCGTTTGTCGAATAAAGTATACGTCGTGTTTCGCCTCGTGATTTGAAATATTTGACGACAACTAAAACACCACCGTGGTCTCCGTAGTTAAAGAAGTAGTAGTCTTTCAAGATCCTCTTCCATGTTAACCCAGCATCTCTGCTGAGATATACGCCTGGGATGCCCTTTAAAGATTTTCCCATAACACCAGTCGCCATTATGATGCCGGGTGCAGACTTCGAACTCATTATACTCGCAGATCTGAAATGTGGTAAGAATAATTTGATAAAAACTAAACTTATGCTTTACGTGTAGGTAAATAAACCAAAACACAATTTAAATGATCTTCAAAATACATAAAAAAAATACTCGATTTACAAATATGTTTATGAATGGTATAAATTCAATAAAATTGGTATGAAAGTAAATAATGAGACCATTTCCTGAAATATCTATGAACACAACTCATTAATGATTACTACACTACTACTACATGAAGCTGTTCAAACATTATCTTAGAGTGTTAGTAGCTGACAATTATTTCAAACAAACTCTCATCGTGTGTGATTTATGTATGTTTGTGTGTATATATTATGTGCATTTGTAAATATAAAAATATACACAAATAATAATGTACTGAAAATCTCAGTTAATTACAACAGTTCCATGTTCCATTACTAACTACATCGGTGTACAACTTTTACCTCATATTGTTGTGTGTAACGTTTCCGGGTGGGCTGCAAATAATTGATTTATTTATCATGATATCACATGTACACACATGTTTGGAAATATAAAAATAGCATAACTCATTTAACGTGTTTATATGCTCCGTATGACGCTACGTAACACTTAATTACATTTTTAGTGGACAAAATTTTGTTTTCTATAATTTTTATTATATTACTTATTACACCGCATTATTTTTTTTAAAGAATACTTTGAATTCGACAGTCAACTTAAATCGATACGGCTTACGTAATCAAATGTCGTCAAGTTCAATTCGTTGTATGATTTAAGAGGGTCATCTAGTGTGTCTGATAAAAAAAAACGGTTTTTTATTCTTCTTCATAATTCACATCTAAAACATGCATAGAAGACGTGATTGAAAGGATTTTTCGAAATTTTAAGCTTTTCAAAACTTAGTCGTAAGCCGAAGTAAATATACCTACGGTTTACAGGAAATACGACTTTTCTAAACTGCTTTCATGATATCTCAGAAACTATTCGATTATTACGATACTATTGTGGTCAAATTTATACAGTATCTTGGGTAGATATATAACTACAAGTTGAAGTAGAACAACTAATATTGCTCAGTAAGTTAGTTATTTTTGTATCGGCTTTAAAGAACAAAAAAAATACGAAAAACAATTTGGCTTTTTCTAAAGCCTTTGAAATTATTATTATTATTATTTTTAGATGCTCAGTACGATCGGAACCATGGCAGCAGTGGAGCACTTATTTTTATATATACGTTTCTGTTGGGCGGTGCATCTCCGACTATATTCTATATAATTACTTCCAAAAAACTCAAAAAGTTTATTTCAATGTTTATGACGATGATATAGACAATTTACAAATTATTTTATTTTAATGGTTGGTAAAAAAAATCCCAAAAAAGCATTAAAAACAGCCCTCACACTAGACGACCCGCTTAAAATAACTTAGTAGAAACAGTTATATTCCCCAATTTAATTTAACTTATTATTCAAAAACAATAGTATTAGAATTTGCACATTCAAGGTTTTTTTTACAAAGAATTAGTGTTCAAGTATCAGAACTAGCCCAAAATTACTTTCAAAATTAGCCCAAATTAAGATTTATGATTAAATATTATTACGTATTATGTTAATCTCCAACTCAGCGACTCGACAATCGTTATTGTTAATTCATTACTACTACATTTTAGTCCCTTCAATTCTATTAATTTTATTTCAATTATAAAAATACATCGCACGAGTCGAAATCCATGCTGTTTCGACCCGAACTGCCTAAAAACTGGACGTCAGATTTTCCAACTTATGACGAATAATTTCATTAATTCTTACCTTGTAACTGGATACAGTTGACTGAATTTCTGGCATAAATGTAGACTGCACGAGTTTTCGATGTGGCAGTTCAGTGGCTTTCCTGCGATAACAATTTTAAAGATAACTTTCTTATAGAAATTCTGGTTCTGAAATTGTCTCGAACGATGAATGAGCCTAATACCAGTGAACGATGTAGGGATTGCAAAACATGACATAGCTCTGCCTAAATATGTCGTAAGTCAATGATACAAACTGAAGGATGAGCCAGCGTCTGCGCGAAGCTGGTATAGCCCTATAAACTACCACCGAATAGGTAAAGGAAAAATAAGGATGGGATAGATTGTTCTTTATAGGAAGTGTGAAAGTAGCCCTGCTAAATAATCAATTAAAAAGCGGACGGTTAGCGTGATATGGACATGTGATGCGCAAAGAGAAGATACATGCAACTAGGAGATGTATGGAAATGGTAGTGCAAGGTAGAAGGGGAAGAGGTCGACCGAAGGAGACATGGATGGAGTGTGTGAATGACGATATGAGAGAGAGAGGAGTGAGTGTTGAGATGACGGCTGATAGACGACAATGTAATAGAAAAATTCGCTGTACCGACCCCACCTAGTGGGATAAGGTGGAGAAAAAGAAGAAGAAAGTAGGTTGTTCTTTACCATTTCTCGATTTGTACAATGGCTGCCACGAAAGCGAGTGGGCCGTAAGCTTATCTGCCTACGCACTTGATCGTTTAGTTCAGAGATATTTTTATAAAATAACTTAAATACAAAAATGACTTCGGCAAATTTGTAATGAGACTGGTTCGATCATATATTAATGATATTCGTTAATTCCTTAACCTTGGAACAAATGCCTTTATCTTTACAGTCATTCTCAAAGTTGTTTTTATCATAAACTGTAACTTATTTAGTCAAGTCAGTCAAGTGCTTGAATAATACCCATTTACTCGCTATCAGACATACCTTAAATTTTTTAAATTCAGTGTGTTAAATAATTTCGAGGTTAGATTCTTGTTTTAGTAGAAATAGAATTCGGTACATAGTTTGCTCACATTACAATTCAGAAAACGATTCAGTGAAGTCTCAGATAAAAAAAATTAACATTGCTAATTAATGATTTATAAAGCCTTTAAGAATATAAATAATTAACTCTCGAGAGTACAATTGTGTTTATTTTACTGCGAAACAACGTTATCAATGCACTTTTGATTTATTTTCTTGATTCATACATTGTGGCGCATTTTCTACTATCAGGAAACATTGTTAAACAATTGAACTTTACCCCGATACCGAATGTTAACTGTGTAAATTTTATAGTTACAACTAGGGATGTCAGTATAGTTTTTTTTTAGATATTTTTTTTTATTGTTTAGATGTGTGGACGAGCTCACAGCCCACCTGGTGTTAAGTGGTTACTGGAGCCCATAGACATCTACAACGTAAATGCGCCACACACCTTGAGATATAGTTCTAAGGTCTCAGTATAGTCACAACGGCTACCCCACCCTTCAAACCGAAACGCATTATTGCTTCACGGCAGAAATAGGCGGGGCGGTGGTACTTACCCGTGCGGACTCACAAGAGGTCCTACCACCAGTAATTACGCAAATTATAATTTTGCGGGTTTGATTTTTATTGCACGATGTTATTCCTTCAGCGTGGAAGTCAATCGTGAACATTTGCTGAGTACGTATTTCATTAGAAAAATTGGTACCCGCCAGCGGGATTCGAACACCGGTGCATCGCTCGATACGAATGCACCGGACGTCTTATCCTTTAGGCCACGACGACTTCTAACTAACTTTGTTTCTGGACATTTTTTATTTGCCAGTGTTTCACAGATTACGGTAATTAATCACGGGACCGTCCGTAAAAGTCGCCCTTCGATATTACCATTACATTCTCGGTGAATTCCAAACACACATATTTCAATTACTCTGGATGGGCGAGTCAATGACCCATCTGGTGTTAAACGAAGCCTATAGACATCACCATCGGCCTTCATCTACCAGAAGACGCGTCCCATATTTCGAACCGGAACGCTATCGTAAAAAGGCAAGGCGGTGACAACTTCTCAGCCAATCAATACAAATCAGTGCTTTTGTGTCAAAATAACTCTTGTCACAGCGGATGTGATCATCAGTCACGAAACCAGTATCATTTCTATGGGTAGATGTTATGCGCCTTACGAGTAATCTCCACTTCTTTTTTTTTATTTTTTTTCATTGCTTAGATTGTTGGACGAGCTCACAGCCCACCTGGTGTTAAGTGGTTACTGGAGCCCATAGACATCTACAACGTAAATGCGCCACTCACCTTGAGATATAAGTTGTAAGGTCTCAGTATAGTTACAACGGCTGCCCCACCCTTCAAACCGAAACGCATTACTGCTTCACGGCAGAAATAGGCAGGGCGGTGGTACCTACCCGCGCGGACTCACAACAGGTCCTACCACCAGTAAACTGCCTACTTGTCTTGGTCGGTCCATCGCATAGGCAACCTTCCACGTTATCTGGTGCTTTCTACTTTTCCTTGAATGACAACGCACTCTATAAAGTAATTTTCTCGCCGGGAGACATTTCCAAAAAAATTATAGTAGGCGCCTATGTACAGCGCTGCTCAATGTCGAATTCTCGAAGGAATCAGCCCTAGTTAATTATTTAATCATTTTCCTGGAGAGTTGAACGTTCGACCGATAGATAACGTGAATACGCATAATACGGTCAAGTTATTATAACAAGCATAACCAGAAAATCGATTTAATTTTCGATCAATAAAGTTATGATTTTTCTGTATATAAAGTTGGCGTACAAAAAGTATTTTTGACTCAATAATAGCTGTGTTCTTTTTCGGAAACAGTTTTAATACACCCTGTGCCGGTATCAATCATGAAACAAGAGATATTTGACAGATGCCTGAATCTCGCTAACGACATTTTCAAGATTTTTTTTTCATTGCTTAGATGGGTGGACGATCTCACAGCCCACCTAATGTTAAGTGGTTACTGGAGCCCATAGACATCTACAACGTAAATACGCCAACCACCACTTACTGGTGGTAGGACCTCTTGTGAGTCCGCGCGGGTGGGTACCACCACTCTGCCTATTTCAGTCTTGAAGCAGTAATGCGTTTCGGTTTGAAGGGTGGGGCAGCCTTTGTAACTATACTTGAGACCTTAGAACTTATATCTCAAGGTTCATCAAATTCCGAACAACAACATTTGGGCCGTCGGTCGGTAGTGTCTCCCGCTCGGTGGAAGATCTTCCCTTTGTCGTTTCCCCCTAAAACCCAATTAAAGGATGATGAATTTCAACATATAAAAAAGAAAAACTCACCATTTTCATCTTCAGTTGGCGGTTTGATCGGTGACCAAGTGACACCGTGATCAAAAGTGATCAGCGATATCAAATGTTCGGGGCCCACGTTAGCAACGGGCGCTTTAGAATCGACCCTCGACGCTATGTAGATTCCTTTTAAGCCTTCGACTCGATACAAATCCGTGAACGGATCCTCTGTGACGTCCCTAAAATAAAATCGATTTTACGAATCAACACTCGTGTACTGTTTAGTTATTTATATGTAGAATTAGGCTTGGCTTTTAGTCGGAGGGCGTTGATAAATTTTAATGTACTCCGTGCCTTTTGTTCTAAAGTAACAACAAAATGAATAGCAATTTCGTTATTCAATTTTTTTCTGTCCTTGTTAACAGTAATTATTCATTAATTTAATATTCAAAATAAGGTATATCGTATTTACTTATAAAAGTTTTTAATGTACATAAAAGGCTGTATGAAGATGTATGTACGTATTACATACGAAGAGAAGCAATCTGACTATCTTAGACCAACTGCTGATTAAGACTAGACTGTCCACACTCTGCCTTCACCGCGCACTCGAGTACTTCAGTCATAGTCAAATCAAATCAAATCAAATCAAAAATTTTTTATTCAACATAAATGAAAGTACATACTTGTTGAACGTCAAAAGAACTACCGCCAATTCACAAGAACTAGCCTCCGTCCTGAGAAGAATTGGCAAGAAACTCAGCGGGCATGTCTTTTTTTTTTAAATATCAAATTATTATTTATTTATTTTTTAATATTAGATTTTTTTTTGAATATGAATTTTTTACAATGAGTATTATAACATAACAATTACTACAATATTGAAATGCCCGGAGCGAGCAACTCATTGCTCGGAAAACACCGGATAGCTTAGAGAGACTATTCGTGACAGGGAAGATCAAGGGAAAGAGACCACACGGGCGCAGTCCGACAAGGTGGTTCGACCAAATCCGCACCACACTAGAGATCCCATTCCACGACGCCCTTCATGCGGCCTATGATCAGAGGCGCTGGCGGGATATTACAAGGAGCAAAATCCTGTCGACATATAATGGTCACGACACTCAGCAGTGAGGAAACGACGCGAGGAGGAGGATTACATATTATTGACATATTATCATTACTTACTCAAGCCAACTGTCCTTCCAGTTTCCTTCCGGGAAATAGCATAAAATCTGTTCCATGCTCAAAACGAAATTATATTGGGTGAAATTTCTGCCGATCTCCGACACGTACAGGTTCGCTAACGTATCCGTGTGCATGACAGAGACGAATATACGTGAATCGGTTACGTCCGCAATATGGAACTTCCTGAGATTCAATTCGGTTTCGAATTCGGCTTTGTAGAACGGTCCTCGTTGATGCGAAATGTACAGATGAAGCGTGTTTTTCTGTGAACGAAGTAGAATAAAGATTTATTTTTATTATATACGAACGAGATTACGAAATCATTACGTTAGCTATAAAGTTACCCAGTTCATTTTTAGGGTTATCGTTTTCTTTCAGTAGTACCTACAACGCCATCTATATTCTTATTTTAAAAAAATATAATGTTTCGACGTACCCGTATTACGTATGATCGTATTGTGGCGGGTAGCCATCATACAACGCAAGATAATTGACAGATGCCTGAATCTCGCTTACGACATTTTCAAGATAAAGCGCATATATACAAGTTCCGAACAACAACATTCGGACCGTCGGTCTACCGAGCAATATCACCCGCTCGGTGGAAGATCTTCCCTTTGTCGTATATATATCCCCAAACGTATCATTATATTCGATCATGTGACGTAATAATGTAAAATCAATTAACAAATTTTTTTTTTTAGAGACAAAAATTTTTCGACGCACCATTGTGTATATGTTTTTTTAAGGGATTTTATGACCTGGTAACTAAGACCTTTAGGTCATGTCTTATTATAATTTATACTCTTATTTTTATGAAAAATTATAGGAGTGAAGTTATTACACATTTAAACCTGAGGAAACACTAGACAAAATAAAACAAATCACACGACTTCATTCCATACATACATACACATTGATAAAAAGGATTCCAATATGTAGATATCAAACCGTAATCTTTTGTAAGCACGCTGTACCATATTCACGGTTTTGTGTATTCGCGGCCTAGGTACGAAACATATAACCCCCCAAAAAAAAATACCTGTTACTGTATAAATCAAAGTTTCTGTGTGTGTGTGTATTGCTGAAACATTAATCTCATTGCGACTTTAGTACTGTTGTTGTTGAGGTGGTGGTATGACAGGGTTATGTCATAGTGCTTCTTACAACGAACGAAAAGTTCGCTAGAATAGTTTCAAAATATCGAAATTTAAAAACAATTGGCGATAGCAGAGCAATTCGTGACCGTATTCCACTAGTTACATATATTATGTATGTATTCAATTGAACACAATTATTATTATTTGGAACGTTTACCCTTATTACATATAAGCGTTTAAAATTCTATTAAAAGAAATATATTTAGATCAAGATAACCTTCTAATTAATATAACAAAACAAAAATAATATGTATAATATTTTTGTTGAAAGTATCGTCTTGACAATGACTTTCCTCGAAACATTATGATATTTATGATAAAAGTGTTGACTCTAAACTATGTCCATTCGACTTTATTACAATTTTTATCACTATTACGTAAATATAAACAGTGTACAACAGAAGTAAGTTAGCTAACAATACCGCGAAAATCAAATTTGCTTAGTTTTTAGCAGACCCAAAACTCAACATCTACGGAGGACTTTTTCAAATATTTTTGTGAAAATTTCACAAACAGGTAAACGATACTCTTTATTAACTACCTACGGATGGATAGCTTAAGAAATAAAAACCAATTTTACAACTTAATCTGACATTCATTATATTAAGCAATAAAAAAAAAAAAATTACTACGTCATTTTATTATTACAGACGTTCGTGACCACGAAAACTGTAAAGAATTCATACCGTCGGATATAATAAAAATCAAAATAATAAACGCGATAATAACCCACAATAGTAGAGTTTTTGTAGGAAGTTAGAAGAAGAAGAATAATGAAAAATACGATCAATTTAGCATATAGGATATGCAATCTTTATTTAAAAGTATTACGTTTTCAGAAACGTCCTTATGCTTGAGAGAGTCGTCACTTACTAATATTCTTAATACACTTACTAATTTTATAGTGAGGCCTGTACCTCTTTTCCCATACATGAAATACCGAATGTTTCAATTAACGAAAAACATACTTATAAACAACTCTACAAGTACAGACTATTAAACCTCTCGAAACAAAATAAAGGGTTTTTTTGTATGACCCAAGTGTTTAAGAAACTTAAAAAGCAGATTTATGACTGCATTTCCACTTCAAAGTTATTAAACCAAATGTTGAATGAACAATCAAGCTAATCTTACAATCCACGATTCAACGTTGTACGGAGATTTAGAAAACCTAGAAAACTACTGCATCGTAAGAGAGTATTAAGCGGTAGGCAGCGGCTTGGCTCTGCTCCTGGCATTGCTGAAGTCCATGGGTGACGGTAACCACTCACCATCAGGTGGGCCGTATGCCCGACTGCCTACAAAGGCTATAAAAAAAAAGTGCCTCTTAAAAAAAACCATAGAAAAAAATATAAGTACTTTGTCTCTGGAGTTCAATAAAACACATGACTTGCTCGGCGTTGTCGGCTAAACGACAATACTTCGTATGAGTCACACAACAACAGATTTAATATTTTCTGAATCATCGTGTAAATTAACACAAAATGTAAACGACACTAGTCGCTTGAACGTAAATAATATCTTTTTAGCTGAATATGTTTCTTGGACGCAAACTTGAATATGCAAAAACTAAACAACTATGTAATTTCGATGTAAAATGTCGCTGACCTTATAGTCTAGTCAACAAGTTCAAAAACGTGTTAAATAGACATAAAGCTCCTAAAAATATGTACGATAGCTCATTGGATGCGGAATGATGTCTACAAAAATGTTTTTTAAGGGCTTATTAGCACATAAAAAATTGCGATTGTTATAAACAAAATAAGATTTAAAAAAAAAGGAATTTGGTTTTTCCTTAATAATTTCTAAAATAATGNGCCTATTTCTGCCGTGAAGCAATAATGCGTTTCGGTTTGAAGGGTGGGGCAGCCGTTGTAACTATACTGAGATCTTAGAACTTATATCTCAAGGTGTGTGGCGCATTTACGCTGTAGATGTCTATGGGCTCCAGTAACCACTTAACACCAGGTGGGCTGTGAGCTCGTCCACACATCTAAGCAATAAAAAAAAAAAAAAGATTTTAAACAAACCTGTACAGGTTTAAATTGTGAATAGAACAAACTAATCTATTTTTATGCGTTTTTTTTTTATTCCTTAGATGGTTGGACGTACTCACAGCTCACCTGGTGTTAAGTGGTTACTGGAGCCCTATAGACATATATAACGTAAATGCGCCACCCATCTTGAGATACAAGTTTTAAGGTCTCAAGTATAGTTACAACGGCTGCCCCACCCTTCAAACCGAAACGCATTACTGCTCAATTCGAAAAAATTTGACAGACGCGTCTTCGATACTTCAAATACACAGTATATAGTCAGACGATACTTCAAATACACAGTATATATGTACTGTTTTAATTAAATCCCGTTAAAATGACTGTTTATAATATTAAGCAGTTACCATGCTTCAATACGTGCGTACCCTATAATATAAACTCGATGCCTATAATGATAATAACGCGTTTCCAGTGTAGTGGCACTATCGCTCAAGCACATGAGCAATGCCAGGGTCAGAGCCGAGCCGCTTCCTCCAGCTACTTCCACACCGGATATCTCTTTATTATGCGTATTCATGTGTTACTGACAAATTTTGTATTTTACATTTGAACAAATTCGATCTAGAATTTAGTTTTTTTTTTATTGCTTAGATGGGAGGACGAGCTCACAGCCCACCTGGTGTTAAGTGGTTACTGGAGCCCATGGACATTTACAACGTAAATGCGCCACCCACCTTGAGATATAAGTTCTAAGATCTCAGTATAGTTACAACGGCTGCCCCACCCTTCATACCGAAACGCATTACCTACTACTTCACGGCAGAAATAGGCAGGGCGGTGGTACCTACCCGCGCGGACTCACAAGAGGTCCTACTATCAGTAAACTTTTTATTACACTTTTTTTTTAATTGTTCAGCTCGTGTATTGATGATTCAATCAATCAGGTCAAATAATTTAATACGTTTTAAATAACGAATATAAATTCTTTGTTAAAATATAGTCATAATATGAATGATTACCCATTTAAGTACATACCACAAACAAATATTGACTGGCTGCTTGTTCAATAGTCAAATAACAAGCCGCTTTAGTTTAATTCAAATATGTTTCGTTGTAACGCTAACAATGAAATACTAAAATTTGCACTTAATTTAAATAGCATTCTCAATTCGATGAAACACTTTTCGAATAATAAACCGTCTAAACATCAATATGAATAGTTTAATATTGTTTTTTTGCTCTAACTTAAATAATAGTACATGGTAATAAAGAACTCTCGCAAAAACATTAATGACGCTAAATATAATTTAAAGGATATTTTTTCTATAACATACGAGTCGATTAGCTACACAGTATTATCTTGCATTATACCTACATATCGACGCTTGAAAGGCAAACGTGACTAAGCGACAATGCGCGAACTTTACAGTAGACTAATTTAAAGTTGAAATACCTGAAAAAAAATATATTTTATCGAATCTAGCTGTAGGATTGAAATGATTTTAATAGACCTAGAAATATATATTTTGTTTGCGCATCGAATATGGTTATTGCCTATCATTTATGTACAAAGCAGTTATTGTCGCTTAGTCACGTTTGCCTTTCAAGCGTCCATATGTAATATATGTCTCGTTTAACGTTGGTACCGAACATAACGTAACAACTTTCACAATTGCGCGATCCAAAAGCGAAATTACATACGTCCGTGCCGCTCATACTTTTTAGCGTAGACGTTTAGACGGATAGAGGTGATTTCATCCTCGTGTCGATTATCGAAACTCAAGAACGCCTCAATGCGATTGCTGTATAGTGTAATATTTGTGTTTATTGCCCTTATAGGCAGACGAGCAGACGACTCACTGGCTATCAGCAATGCCAGGGGTGGAGCCAAGCCGCTGCCTACCGTTATGTACTCTCAAAAAAAATTGCTAAAATTTCTTATAATAAATGACTAAGACCACCACCACCCTCCACACACACCAGCCATCATCATTCTCTTGCCATTCTCCCAGTCACCTGGGGTCGGCGCAACATGTTTTCTCCTTCCATACTCCTCTATCATATACCGTTTCTTCACTCACTTCTCTCTTACACATATCGTCTTTC